TCTTCTACAAAAATTAACTCAAAATGGACCCTATGCACAAGTTATAAAATGCAAAGCTAAAAAACTTTAAGAGGTAATCCAGATCTTGAAGGGGTGTGAACTTAGCCCAGTGGTTAAGGTGCCTGAGTACCAGATTGAAGTACCGGGTCCAGCTCCTGATGCCAGCTTTTTGCTAATGCAGGCCTTTGGGAGGCAGCAGTGATGGCTCAAGTGATTGGGTCCTGCTGCCTCCGTGGAAGACCTAGGTTGAGTTCCCTTCTCCTGGCTGTCCAACAGCCTAGGCCCTCATCTCCTGTGGGCATTTGGTCTGTGAACCAGTGAATGGGACCTCTTTCAGTCTCTCTTTTAAAAAGTAGATGATGTGGGTGGGGTTTTGCCATGTGGGTTAAGCTGTGATTTGGGATACCTACATCCAATATTGGAGTGCTTGGTTTAAGTCTCAGCTATTCTGGGCTTCTATTCAAGCTTCCGGCTAATGTGCCCAAGTACTCGGTTCCTGCCATCTGAATGGAAGACCTGGATGGGGTTCCTGGCCCCTGGCTTCAGTCTGGCCTAGATCTGGATGCTGTAAGAATTTGGGCAGTAAACCAGCCAATGGAAGATTGGTCGCTCTCACTTTGGCTTTCAAATAAATAAATATTTTTAAAAACATTAAGAAGTAGAAGATATTTGGAACCTAGAGATTAGTGAAGAGACAATAGACTACATCAAAAGTATGACCTGTAGAAGAAAAATAATGATAAATGTGATTTCATCAAATTAAAAACTTTTGCTCTGTCAATGACCCTTGTAAAGGAGATGAAAAGACAAGCTACATACAGACTGGAGAAAATACTTGTAAAGTATTTGGCATAAGACTTATGTCTAGGATACATAAAAAAGCCCTCAAAACTCCACAATGAACCAGTCCAGTTAGAAAATGAAGATGTGATGGGGTATTTTGCTAAAACAGATGGTAAAATGCACATTGAAAAAAAAATTTACATAGAAAGTTGTTCAGTGAAGAAAAAAAAACAAAGATTTTCAGTATGAAATTAAGACTATGAGGTACAACTTCACACCTGTTTAGCTGAAGTAGGAGATAGTGACAATATGAAATGCGCTGAAGATACAGAAAAAATTTGATCACTCAAACAGGGGTACTGCAAAAAGTTCATAGGCAAATGGAATTAAATGATGTTGGTGCAAAAATTGGAAATTTGTGTATGCTGTATTCATAATTTGCATTTTCCATGAACTTTTTGAAGACTAAGTACATTTCTGATAGGAATGTCAAATGATACAGCCATATCTAAAATAGTTTATTTCTTAAAGATATAAGCAATCCTACTTACCAATCCCTTACCTTGCAACCTTATCATTTTACTCCTGAATATTTATACCAAAGAAATGAACAGTTAGGTCTACATAAATACTGGTAGGAACCAGTATTCACAGCATTTTTATTTATGGTAGGCCCAAACTGGAAATAATCCAAGCTCTCTCAGTGTATGAATTGTTGGGCATATAGTGAGGCAGGAGTTAAGAGCTGTTTAGGACACCCTGCATCCCATATCAATGTGCCTGGTTTTGGATCCTGGCTGTGCTACCAATTCCAGCTTCCTGTTAAATGGAAGACAGTAGGTAATGGCTCCAGTTAGATCCCCTACCACTCTCATGGGAGACCCAGTTTGAGTTCTCAGCTCCAAGCTGATGCCTGGCCCAGGCATTTGGGGAGTGAACCAGCAGATGGAGCTCACTTTATTTGTTTATATCTGTCTGCCTCTCAATTAAATAAGAAAACTAAAAACCAATAGTAAAGCCCCTTTAAAAATATATGTGGTCACCCATATCATGGAATGTTCCTGATAAATAACTAATGTCACATGCAACAGCTTGCTTGGATCTCAAGGGCATTATGGTGAGTGAAAAATACCACTCTCAAAAAGCTGTGTGCTGCATGATTCCATTTATATAACATTCTTGAAATGACAAAATTATAGAGATGGGGAACAGATTAATGGTTGCCAGGGATCTGGCCTGTGGTTGAGAACTGCTGTGACTATAAAATGTTAGCAAGAGAGAGGTCATTGTGATGATAGAATAGTTGAGGATTGGGGCTGTTGTTGTGGTATAGTGGGTAAAGCTGCCATATGGGTTCTGGTTCATGTCCTGGCTACTTCTCTTCTGATCCAGCTTCCTGCTAATGGCCTGGGAAAAGCAATGGAAGATGGCTCAAGTGTTTGGGCCCCTGCCACCCATGTGGGAGACCTGGAAGAAGCTCCTGGCTTCAGCCTGGCCCAACCCTGGTAATTGCGGCCATCAGGGGAGTGAACCAAAAGATAGGAGATCCTTCTCTATCAGTCTGTCTCTTTAATTCTGTCTCTCCCTTTCTCTTTAATCCTCCCTTTCAAATAAAATAAATAAATCTTTTAAAAAAAAAAAAGAATTGAAGATCTTGGTTAGGGCAGTGGTTACACAAATCTACTCCATGTTTAAGTGACAGAGCCCCATACACAGTATTTTGTTCTGGTTTTGATAATGTATAATAGTTATTTAAAATATGACTATAAAAGGTCCATATTGCCTCTGCAATTTTCTGAGTCTATATGATTTTAAAATTAAAACTTTAAAAATGCAAATCTTTTGTATGAAAAAGGAAAATTCTTTTATCCCCATTATTTATGAGTATTTTGGGTATTTTTTTTTAAAGATTTATATATTTATTTGAAAGAGTTAATGAGAGGCAGAGGCAGAGAGCAAGCACCCATATGGGATGCCGGCATCACAGGTGGTGGCTTTATCCGCTACGCCACAGCGCTGGCCCCTATTTTGGGTATTTTATGGAAATCCAGGAGATGGAATTTCTTGGTTTTGCTGTTGGTTCCCAGTGTTTGCTTCTTTTTTTCCATTTCTCCAATGTTCATTGTTTTTCTTAATGCTTGTTTATTTTCATCTACTTGAAAGAATGACAGAGAAAGAGACCTTCCATCTATTGGTTTACTCCCAAAATTCCCCCAGCCAGGAACCCAGAACTCTTATCCTAAGTATCCCACATGGGATAGGAACTCGGTCAGTTGAGCCATCATCTGCCACCTCACAGGAAGCTAGATCAGAAGTGGAGACGCTGCGGTGTAAACTTGCACTCTCATGTAATGCCATCACTCACAAGTGGTAGCTTAGCTCACTGTGCCACAGTGCCTGCCCCTTGTTTGTTCTTTTGACCATACTCTAGCTTTGGCTTATGTATGCTGCTTGCCTAGCGTTTGAAAGGAATAGAGGTCTGGCATGGGTGAGAACTAGAAGTTATTTTTTTTACAGCTTTATCTGTAGGCAATAATTAAAAAATATGGAGCAAGCATTTTATATTGTCCCTCTTTTCACCATACTGCTTTTGAAAAATGTAGAAAAGACTTTTTAAATTTAGAGAAGCAGTATGATGTATGTATTACTAAAATTGCTTCATTAGAGATATTAAACCATTTTTTTTTCCATAAATGTGCTGTTAAAACATTAAGTGTGGAGCTGGCATAGAGAGCTAAGCTGCCTCTTGCACCCCATATTGGAACACTGGTTCGAATCTCTACTTCTGATCAACACGTGGGAAAGCAGCATAAGATAGCCCAAATGCTTGGGCTCCTGCTACCTACATGGTAGACCTGGATGGAGTTCCTGACTCCTGACCTAAGATTTATTTATTTATTTTGAAAGTCAGAGTTATAGAGAGGGATAGACAGAGATCCTCTGCTGCTTTGTCAGGCTATTAGCAAGTAGCTGTATCAGAAATGGAGCAGCTGGGACTTGCACCAGTGTCCATATGGAAAACCAGCATCATAGGTGGCAGCTTTACCCTCTGTGCCACAACACGGGCCACAGTAAATAATATCTTTTAAAAAAAAGTTAAGTGCTTAAGTTTGGTCTATACCCACAGCCAATTTTGTTTTCTTGTTTATGTTTTTTTGTTTGTTTGTTGGTAAGCAAAGTCGGCAAGTTTAATGAAGAAAGATAATGAAGAGAGTACACTTGATAGGCTAGGTGGACATCTGAGAAAAGTATGAGAGTCACAGCCAGTTTTGAATGGGGTTCTTTTTGGACCCTGCAGGCACAGGAAGAACTGGTTGTAGGATCTGATAGGGTAAAAAGAGAGACTTGCAAACTGAGTTAAGTGAGGGCAGCCAAAACAATAACTCATTGCATACCCCCTAAAGAAAACCGTCAATAATAAAATCGTAAGCACTAAAAACGCTCTTGAAATTTTCTGTCATTTTTTAAAAATTTTTATTTATTTTATTTATTTTTTTTATTTGAGAGGTAGAGTTACATACAGTGAGAGGGAGAGACAGAGTTCTTCTTTCCATTGGTTCACTCCCCAAATGGCCGCAACAGCCGGAGCTGCGCCGATCTGAAGCCAGGAGCCCGGTGCCAGGTGCTTTTTCCCAGTCTCCCACATGGGTGCAGGGGCCCAAGCACTTGGGCCATCTTCTACTACTTTCCCAGGCCACAGCAGAGAGCTGGATTGGAAGAGGAGCAGTCGGGACTTGAACCGGCGCCCATATGGGATGCCGGTGCTGCAGGCGGAAGATTAATCTACTGCGCCATGGCGCTGGCCCCATGTAGTTTTCTTAAAATTAGCTTTCCAGTAACTTAAAATTACTTAAATGGGAATTGTAAGGTGTTTATTCCTTTCACTAAGCAAACCGTGTTTCTTTGTGGTGCTGATGATTGAGAACACATTCTGCTTTCCTGGGGCTTATGATTTTATGTGGAAACTGAAAAGAAGTGTGTGTCATAACACATAAATATGATATAAGGGATGAGAAAAACTTGAGTAGAGGAAGAGTTGTAGAAAGTAGTTTTTGTCAGAGAGTAGTTGCATTCATCTTTTCAGAATGCTTTGTATTTTGCTTAACACTGATTATTTCTTGTTTTAAATACACATTTTAGTGTGTTCCTTGTGGCATTGTTAAATTCATTTGAGAAATTAAAAATTTAGCAGCTTAAGTTCCTTTACTTTTGCTCAGACATTTCAACAAGATTCAAGACTTCAGTGACACTTTCTATCGACGTAAGTTGTTCCACTTGAAATGGAATATTTATTAAATTATTATAGTTTTTTGGTTTCTAGCTACTTTTTTAAAAAGGCTTACTTTTTCAGTGGCTTCTCTCTCTTTATTGGCCTTTCAGTGAGACTGTTGACTGAGTGAAAAGAAGATCCTCTTGCTTTAGTTCTTATTTTTTTTTAAAGATTTATTTATTTATTTGAAAGGTAGAGTTAGAGAGGCAAAGAGGGAGAGAGAGAAAGAGGTCTTATATTCGCTGGTTCACTCCCCAGATGGCCGCAATGGCCAGAGCTGGGCCAATCCAAAGCCAGGACCAAGAACTTGGGCCATCCTCTACTGTTTTCCCAGGCCATGGCAGAGAGCTGGATTGGAAGTGGAGTAGTCGGGACTCGAACCAGTGCCCATATGGGATGCTGGCGCCCAGGCAGCAGCTTTACCCGCTATGCCACAGCGCTGGCCTCACTGTTTTAGTTCTTAATTGAGATCTCTAGCTGTGTTTTTCTGTGCTGACTTGAATAAGAATTACTAAAGGATAAGGAGCTCTATGTGTATGTTTATAATAAGTACAAGTTTATTTCTTAGTGAATTATTTTGTGCAAATTTAAAACTTTTTTTAGAACAGTATTAGGCTCACAGAAAAAGGAGTAGGAAGTATAGAGTTCTTCTAGAATCCCCTGTCCTCACACATACACAACCTTCCCCACACACAGCCTCTTCCCACTCTCCACACACAACCTCCCATCTGTCCACATCCTCCCAGCAGAGTGGTGTCTTTGTTATAGGCGATGAACTTAGTTGATAAATCCTTATGCAACTGTCCTTTTAGATTAAGCTTATGTGTTTTTTTCTCTTAGAATTTCATATTATTGTTTGTGGACTGGACTCCATTATAGCCAGAAGATGGATAAATGGCATGCTGGTAAAGACTTCAGTGTTGTTATGCCTCTCTGAACTTGTTGCTGCTGCTCTTGATGTACAGAAATTAGAATTGCATATTCTGTGTTTCTAAATAGAGAGTTTATTTAATTTTGAGTTAAATAAACTTCATTAGTTATTGCCAGTCATTGGTTTTTCATGTGAGGATACAAATTGTTGACATTATAATTTCTTGATTTCATATATTAGAGCTCACTACCACAGCTGATTCAGAATTGTAAGCATGCACCTTTTTTAAAATTCTTACCACCTTCTCCTTTTAAATCCTTCAAATTATTTTCCTAGATATCTCTTCTGAATTATGAAGATGGTGTGTTAGATCCAAGCTCCATCATCCCTTTGATAGATGGGGGGACAGAAGGCTTTAAAGGAAATGCCCGCGTGATTCTGCCTGGAATGACTGCTTGTATTGAATGTACGCTGGAACTTTATCCACCACAGGTAATCAGAAAACCACCTCACTCCTGTTACAGAATTTCATGGTGAGCAGAGAGTTGAGTTCTTAAGTCTAGTCAATATTTAGGTTTTAATTGGGGGTAACCATGTTTTTAAAATTATACAAAGGAGAAAGGTAATAAAATATGAGGAAAATATGCTTTTATACCTCATTTGTATTAAGTTTTTCCTTGAGTAGAGATCAAGGGGAAACACAAAGCTATGTGTCAAGATATAGGTATAATCTATTTGTTTATCAGCCACAAACTATCCCCTTTTTCTGCATTTTGATGTTAAATACTTTAGTTATCCTTGGTTAGCCATGGTTTGAAAATATTTTGTGAAAATTCCAGAAATAAATATTTCGTAGGTTTTAAATTATCTACCATTCTCAGTAGCATGATGAAATCTTGCACCATCCTTCTTTGTCCCACCAGTCCTGTTCTGTCTCATCAAAGATAGGCATTTTATCCAGCTTATCCATGCCGTGGAGGCTGCCTTCTTGGTTGTCAGATAGACTGTTGAGGTAGCATAGCACTTGTGTTCAGGTAACCCTTATTTTACTTAATACTGGTCCCAAAGTTTAGGAGCAGTGATGACAGTGGTTTGGATATGCCAAAGAGAAGCTATCCTCTGAGACTACATCCTTTAATTGTATAGGTGAAAGTTTTCAACTTTTTTTCTTTTTTCTTTTTTTTTTTTTTTTTAATAGGCAGAGTTAGACAGTGAGAGAGAGACAGAGAGAAAGGTCTTCCTTCCGTTGGTTCACCCCACAAATGGCCGCTATGGCCAGCGTCCTGTGCTGATCTGAAGCCAGGAGCCAGATGCTTCTTCCTGGTCTCCCATGTGGATGCAGGGCCCAAGCACTTGGGCCATCCTCCATTGCCCTTCCGGGCCACAGCAGAGAGCTGGACTGGAAGAGGAGCAACCAGGACAGAATCCTGCTCCCCAACTGGGACTAGAACCCAGTGTGCCAGCGCTGCAGGTGGAGGATTAGCCTAGTGAGCCGTGGCACCGGCCCAAAAGTTTTCAACTTTTTAAAGGATGATAAAAGATTGCATGCCGAGATTGCCAAGATGTTCAATGCAATAAGATATTTGGAGAGAGAGATACCACATTCACATATTTTTATATAGTGTATTAAAATTATATTACTTTATTAGTTATTGTTGTTTTACTGGGTCTGACTTATATATTAAATGATCATGGGTATGTTTAAGGACAAAAATAGAACACATGTAGGGTTTGTTACTGTCTGCAGGTTCAGGCAACCCCTGGGGATCTTGAAATGTATTTTAGAGGAGATAAGATACAAGGGTGAGACTGACCCTTCTAAAGATGGAGCTCCTGAATTTATATAACCATTGTAAAGGACAGTTGAAATTTTGATAAGTGTAAGCAATTTTATGAATATTTATTTAGAATTGATTTAACTCTGAATATGCTTTTGTGTTTGTTTGTTTCATACCTTTATATCTAAATGTCTAGTTGACCTAACAAAGTATTCACATTTGACAATCTATGTAGCACTTGTTTTCTCATGTTCTAACAAAGTTTAAAAAATGTAGGGCAAAACTTTATAAGAAGGTCAACCAAACTGAAATGAGTTAGCTTCTCCCTATTAGTTTTAGAGGTATTGTTAATATTACACAGTATTTTGCTTAGGTGAGTGGAGGGCTGAGATGAATTATAAGAAACAGTTACAAACTAAATCATAATATAATTTATCATTTAAAATTCACTAAAAAAAGTATAAACTGTGATTTTAGGTTAATTTTCCCATGTGCACCATTGCATCTATGCCCCGGCTACCAGAGCACTGTATTGAGTATGTAAGGATGTTGCAGTGGCCTAAGGAACAGCCTTTTGGAGGTAATTTAATAATTACCTAATTTAATAATATAGAATTTAGAATTATATAAAATATTTTTTATACTTTCCATATGGACAATTAAGAAACAAATTGCTTTCTGATTACATACTTGTGTCATTCTCTGCTGATTCTTCTTCCCTTTTTTTTTTTTTTCTTATCAGAAGGAATTCCATTAGATGGAGATGATCCTGAACATATTCAGTGGATTTTCCAAAAGTCCTTAGAGAGAGCATCACAGTATAATATTAGGGGTGTCACATATAGACTCACTCAAGGTAAGTTAGTGACTTGTCATGAATTATGATTTGAGGTGGTCCTTTTTGTTAGGCCCAGGATGCTTTGGAGGGAGTAATTGATAAGCGATTTAGATAGCACCACCCATTTAAGGTTCAGTAAAGGTACCACGGGAATTACAGGTACCCCAAAAGCAGGAGGGAGTCAAGTTCAGTAGAGTCCATGCTTCTCACCTAGGGAGAATTTGATAAACTCATTATCTTGGTACCTTAAGATTGGAATAGGCCCTAAATCTTCCAAGTCAAACCAACTAATTTATCTTTCACTGAAGAATTCATCACCTCTTGGGAATAGAAATCTTTAGTTTGGTCTGAGTGTTGTCCTGGTACCAAATATAATTCCTTTTCAAGTAGTAACCTTCAAAGAAGAGAGCCTAGTCACAATTAGCTGTAAGCAAAATAAAATCAAAGTGGCATTCTTCAGAGGGTCTGGCTCACTTGTCACATTTGCTTTCTTACCCTTTGGGTGTTTCACATCATCCTGTTTTCTTTCTTCCTTTTTTTTTTTTAAAGATTTTATTTATTTATTTGAAAGTCAGAGAAAAAGAGGGGTCTTCCAGCCACTGGTTCTCTACCCAGTTGGCTGCAACAGCTGGACCTGTGCCAGGATCCAGGAGCTTCTTCTGGGTCTTCCATGCAGGTGCTGGGGCCCAAGGATTTGGGCCATCTTCCACTTCTTTCCCAGGCCACAGCAGAGAACTGGAGCAGCCAAGACGCAAGTTGTGCCCATATGGGATGCTGGCACTGCAGGCAGCGGCTTTACCTGCTAAGCCACAGTGCTGGCCCCATCCTGTGTTATTTGAGTGAGCAATTTTAGTCAAGAAGCCCCCTCAACAAATCAAGTTTTAAAGAAGGAGTTAAAGGAGTAGGGTTTGGATACTGGATGGAAAAACTTAAAACAGGTTATACAGACTGAAAGCTGTGTGTTGTTTATGAAGAAAGGGATCATCAGGAATAGAGATGACCCAAGTAGAACATACTGTCATTCACAGAACCAAAAATTAAGACGAGTGTTAAGAAGAGAAAGGTGAAGTTGCATCTCTAGAGAAAGTGGATATTAAAACCTCATATGATTCAGGAATCCAATAGCAGAAAACTAATTAAGAACTAGAAAAAGGTAAGGTCCCCCACCCCCCAAATCAGAATACAACATTTGCAGATGTGGTTGTCACTAATCCTGGTTCATTTCGTTGTAGACTCTAATGTACCTCTGAGTCTGAGTAAAGGCCCCCGTATCAGTGATGAAGAAACCCAAGTCTGTTAGAGGCAGCTGCATGTGCTCTTTCCAGGGACTGGCCAGAGGAGGTGGTCAGTCTGGGAGGAAGCGCACACGCTTACAGAAAGCCTCTCAGCGCCTTTCAGTTTGATTTTCTAAATTTCCTGTGTTCCAGCTGCTCTGGAGATAAAACTTTCTTTTTTAAAATTTCTTTCATTTTTTTAAATTATTTATTTGAAAGGCAGAATGACAGGGAGAGACAGAGTAAGAGATATCTTCCATCTATAGAGTCACTCCCCAAATGTCTCCAAAAGCCAAGAGTAGGCCAGGCCAAAGCCAGGAGCCAGAACTACAACCAGGTCTCCTGTGTGCTTGACGGGAATCTAAATAGATTAGCTGTCATCCCCTGCTTCCCAGGTGCATTAGCAGCAAGCTGGATTGGAAGCATGACATAGTTCGGACTTAAATCATTCACTCTGATATTGTGATGCAGGCCTCTCAAGTGGCAGCTTAACCCTTTCACCACTGCCTTCCCCCAAAAAATTAAAAAAAAAAAAAGCATATGAAGGTACTGTAGAAAATTTGTGAAAAATGGAATTAAAAGTATAATTTAGGGCCGGCGCCGCGGCTCACTAGGCTAATCCTCCGCCTTGCGGCGCCAGCACACCGGGTTCTAGTCCCGGTCGGGGCGCCGGATTCTGTCCCGGTTGCCCCTCTTCCAGGCCAGCTCTCTGCTGTGGCCAGGGAGTGCAGTGGAGGATGGCCCAAGTGCTTGGGCCCTGCACCCCATGGGAGACCAGGAGAAGCACCTGGCTCTTGCCATCGGATCAGCGCGGTGCGCCGGCTGCAGCGCGCCGGCCATGACGGCCACTGGAGGGTGAACCAGCGGCAAAAGGAAGACCTTTCTCTCTGTCTCTCTTTCACTGTCTACTCTGCCTGTCAAAAAAAAAAAAAAAAAAAAAGTATAATTTAGTTTGGTGAAGAAACCTCTTGAAATCCATGCATAGTTTTAAAAAATTTTAAAAGATTTATTTTAAGAGGCCAGCGCTGTGACACAGCTTTTTAAAACCCTGGCCTGAAGCACCGGCATCCCATATGGGCACCGGTTCAAGTCCTGGCTGCTCCACTTAGGATCTAGCTCTCTGCTATGGCCTGGGAAAGCAGCAGGTCCTTGGGCCCCTGCACACATGTGAGAGACCTGGAAGAAGCCCCTGGCTCCTGCCTTCAGATTGGCTCAGCTCCAGCTGTTGCAGCCATTTGGGGAGTGAACCAGTGGATGGAAGACCTCTCTCTGTCTCTACTTCTCTTTGTAACTCTGCATTTCAAATAAACAAATATTTTTAATTTATTTGAAAAGAGAAAGAGATTTATTTGAAAGAGAAAGAGATCTTCCAGTGAACTTTTTGAAGACTCCTCTTGTGAGGTCAGTTCATTCTGTGAAACTAGAAGTCTCTCCAGGGCCAAAGGGGAGAGGCTGAGGATATAAATCTCAGGATCACAGTTCATGCCAGTGTGCAGACTTCAAGGCTATTGGCCTCCTCCCCATGACCCCACCCCACTGTAATTAGAAAAAAAACCTTTAAACTGTTCTCTCTGGTCTGTAAGATATCACTTCATCTATTTCTTGCCGGAGTCTCCCATTCTGTTTAATCCCCTGTCCCCAGCTATGCTGCAGGCACTCTGGCCTGGTCTTTAGCTCGTTCAGACTACAATGGTCTTTCTTCAGGTTCTTCATGGACTGTTCCATCTTAAGGTATGCCCTCTCTAGCTCTACCTGGGAACTCAGTCCCATGACTTGTTATTCTTCCAGAACTTATTTTTACTTGTTCTTCATTCGTCTTCATTCATTTTCTGTCCTTCCCCTGTGCCCAGCAAATATTTGTTCTGCAAGGGCAGGGATATTTTCTTACTCTCCACTTTATTCCTTCCAAATGTTTATCACTGCTATAAATCTCTCTTGTTGCCTTAACTCTTTGGTAGGCAATACGGCTTCAAGTCAGCCTTGTATTGTTTTCTTGAGGATAGTCCAGTTATCCATACTTTTCCTGATTGTCTAGGCTAGTATGCAGCACTCTGGAATTGATCTTATTTAGACAGTTTGCTTCTCATCATTAACACAGTCTTAAAGGACAAGATTTTTAGTTGTTTTTCTGTTTACATTGATGTTATACTTTTGATTCTTTGATGTTCCACAAAAATCTGGATGTTTTCTCCACATAAACCATTGCAAAGCTGTATCTCTATTATAGAATTGACGGTTTTAGGGGTGCTTTTGTGTGTGTGTGTGCATGTATTTTTTTTTTTTTTTAAATAATTGTTGATTTGAAAGGCAGAGAGAGGGAGCTTCAATCTGCTGGTTCACTCCCCAAATGCCTACACTGGTCAGCCCTGGTCAGGACTGAAGCCAGGAGCTGGGAGCTCAATCCAGGTCTGCCACATAAGTAGCAGGGGACCCAGTTACTTAAGTCATCACTGCCATCACTGCTGCCTCCTGGGGTCTCCACTAGCAGGAAACTGGATCCAGGAGTCAAGCACAGGCAGTTCATTGTTAACTACTAGGCTAAATGCAGGCCTCCGTTTTTTTTAAGATTGGAAAAATTTGTTCTTAAAATTTAACCTGATGTTCTATTCATAAATTCTTTTGCCAACTTATGTAGTTTTTCTAGCTTTATTTCACCTTTATTTTGATAATCATCTTTTATTATTTTCCAAACAATTGATTTAATATATATATATTTTTTTAACAAGACTACATTGTCTGACGCAGACATCTGAATCATACCTCTCTGTGGTCAGGTGTTTTAGGTTTATCTCTTGTTACTATGGATCCTCATGAGAATTTCATTTCCTTGTCTTGTTTTGGCTACCTTTTTCTAAAATCAGCAATTGAAATGTAGTCATAAAATGACATTTATTTTTTATTCTAAACATTATTTTGTACTTTAAACATTATGTTTAAAGTGGTGCTTTGTTCATTCATTATTGTGACTACTGATGTGAAAAACATCTGGTCAAAATAGATAACTATATTTAATATTTTGTGTAGCTCAGGATATATAGTGAAAGACAGATGATAAGGGGTAGTTTTTCTTTTTGTTGTGAAATTTTTTATATTGAATGACTACAACTACTTTATGGGGAATATTAACTATTAGTCTTCATACTTTACTCAAACTTTTCTAAGTATAGTATAATGTGTATATAATAACAATTAAGAATATATACTTTGGAGCATATCTGGGTTCGTGTGCCATACCACTGTTTACTAGATGTATTGCTATGAATAAATTATTTAATTTCTCTCAGCTTAATTTTCCTTACCCTTAAAACAGAGTTGTAAGACTAACATAAGGGTCCAGTGTGTGGTACAGTGGGTTGAACTGCTGCTTGAGATGTCTGCATCCCATGTTGAAATTCTAGTCAAGGCCTGGCTACTCTACTCCTGATCCAGCTCCCTGCTAATGCCCCTGGGAAGCAGCAGATGATGCCTCAAGTACTTGAGTCCCTGCCACCCATATGGGAAACCCAAATGGAATTCCTGGCTCCTGGCTTCACCCTGTCCCAACCCTAGCTGTTGTGACCATTTGGGGAGTAAACCAGCAGATGGAAAGTCCCTCTCTCTGTCTCTTTCAAATAAATAAATTTATCTTTTTTTAAAATCACAGTACCTTTATTTTTTTAAAAAGATTTATTTATTTGAAAGGCAGAGTTACAGAGAAAAAGTAGGGACAGAGAGATCTTCCATCCGTTGGTTTTCTCTGCAGATGGCCACAACAGCCAGAAGTGGGCCAGGATGAAGCCTGGGGCCAGGAGCTTCATCCAGGTCACCCACGTGATTAGGAGGGGCCCAAGTACTTGGGCTGTCTTGCACCGGCATCACGGGTAGCCCTTTTACCCACTAAGCCACAACACCAGCCCTATAAATAAATCTTTAAAAAAAATATTAGGAGCCGGTGCTGTGGCTTAACGGGTAAAGCTGCTACCTGCAGTACCGGCATCTCATAAGAGCACTGGTTCAAGTTCCAGCTGCTCCACTTCCTGTCCAGCTCTCTGCTGTGGCCTGGGAAAGCAGTAGAAGACAGCCCAAGGCCTTGGGCTCCTGCACCCATGTGGGAGACCCAGAAGAAGCTCCTGGCTCCTGGCTTAGGATCGGTGCAGCTCCACCCCTTGCAGCCATCTGGGCCATCTCTCTCTCTCTGCCTCTGCCTCTCTGTAATTCTGCCTTTCAAATAAATCAATACATCTTTAAAAAAAGATTACCATAAGGATATTATGAAAAATCAAATATCTTTATCATTACACTGTATGTGGAAGACTAGTAAACACACTAATTTTAGCAATTATTATTTTTATTATTATTTTGTATTTATGTAAAGCGTACTCGAGAGAGTTTTCTTCTGGCTTAAGATTCTAAACAGACTACCGTGAAAGAAAACTGTTTCACAGTTAAGCTTCCAGTTGATTTTCTGCTTGAAGCCTGAAAAAAAATAAAGTTTTAGTACTAATTTGAGGTAACTATATTCCAAAGAAAATGACCACATTTTTATTTCTTTTTTTTAGGAGTAGTAAAACGAATCATTCCTGCAGTAGCTTCCACAAATGCAGTCATAGCAGGTGAGGGAAAAAAGGCCACCCCTTAATTTTATTTTCTTTCCTTTGGCTTGTGTTTCAGTATCTGAACTGACATTTTTGCACCTACTTTTGTTCTAGGAATTTGGTGTCAAGAATTCTTATGGGGGAGGGTTGTATAATTGAGCTGTCCAAAAAGAACAAGCTACTGGACCTTGTCTACTTTTTGTTTTCCATTATGTCTTGCTCTGTACCATATCTTTTAAGTTAGTGTAATAGGCTGTTTATTAAGTTAATGAATAGGAAGAAAAAACATGTAGTGTTACTCTATCACTTGGATCACAAGGAATAAATTTGTTACTCTTGTGTCTCATTATATTATTTGTTTTTTAAATTAATAATCATTATAAATTATCTATCTTGATTTATAACTAACTTTTTAAATATATAATTTCATTGAGTTAAGTCATCTTAATTTTTCTCTCCTCTTTAGCTGTGTGTGCCACTGAGGTTTTTAAAATAGCCACAAGGTAATGGGCCTCACTTTTAATATACATATAAATCTGTGTTTTAATCTGGCTTAATTATATAAACATAAGCATTTTTTCATTACAGTGCATACATTCCCCTCAATAATTACTTGGTATTCAATGATGTAGATGGGCTATACACATACACATTTGAAGCAGAGAGAAAGGTGAGTAGTTTTAAACTAATGAAAATATTTTTTATCCTACATCCTTTGATTTTTAAATATTATTGGTTAGAAATTTGAATAAAATTACCCGTATCCAAATATTTTATTTTCTAACTTACCCTACTTTTGAGATATAGCCTAAAATAAATATTGGATAGCAAAATAATTCAGAAAAAAGATTCATTGTGCTCGCTTCAGCAGCACATATACTAAAAATTGGAAAAAAGATTTGTTATAAAAACCACACTAAACCATAAAAAGTTTTTCATAGATTTTTATGATTATAAAACAAGTTGATTTCCATTTCATTGTCTTATAAGGAAACTAGTGCTGGTGCATTGCCACTGTAATTTGTTGTGTTTTATGTACGTAGGAAAACTGCCCAGCTTGTAGCCAGCTTCCTCAAAATATTCAGTTTTCTCCGTCTGCTAAACTACAGGAAGTTTTGGATTATCTAACCAATAGTGCTTCTCTGTAAGTGTTGTGGAATTTTTTTATGTTGTAAAAATCATTTTTTTTCTTTTAAACTTCAGAAACCAGATTTTTTTTTAATGATGTTTGATTCTTTCTCATAATTATGTATAGGCAGATGAAATCTCCAGCCATCACAGCCACATTAGAGGGAAAAAATAGAACACTTTACTTACAGGTGATCACTGTCAGTTTTTTATTTTTTTCAGAAAATATTAATAGTTAAATTTTACTTTAATGTGTGTTAAATTAAAGTGATTTTGTTTTCTAGTCAGTAACTTCTATTGAAGAAAGAACAAGGCCAAATCTTTCCAAAACATTGAAAGGTACTTTACATAAGTTTACTGTTTTCCTTTTAGTAAAAATAGTAAATGCTTTTTCTAAATTTGCTCTTAATGCTTTTTTTTAAAAACCTGATCAAATCATGATGATAAAATGAATTCTCTTATAGTAAAATTAAAAAAAAAATCGCCGTGACATCAAATTATCTTGATTAAAGCAAATTGGATTTTGATGGTTGTCTACACCATAGAACTCTATAGTTTGTGTATGTGTGTATTATAATCTTTTTTTGTTGAGTTTTTTTGCTTGGGTTAATTACACTTTTTCTCTTTTAGAATTAGGACTTGTTGATGGACAAGAACTGGCAGTTGCTGATGTCACCACACCACAGACTGTATTATTCAAGCTTCATTTCACTTCTTAAGGAAAATAAATCTGCACAAATACAGAAAATTTATGGAAATAATATACTTCATGGCTACTAAGAAATTTAATTGATGTCATTTTTAGCATTAGTGTTGAGGGAATTTGACTTTTTTAAAATATAATGAACCAGTCTTTTTTTTAACATAATAATTTTCTCTTGAAGACAGAATTTTGGGCTTAGTACTCATAAGCATTTTCATTAATAATATGGGAAATGATGCCTGAAGAGAAAGATTATGAGATTTTGATGAGGAGGCAAACACACACTTGTGTTTGAATTTTGTTATTATGGTCAAAGAATATAATCCTTTGCTTTCAGTTGAGCACCCATATATGCAAAAAAATCCCTTTAAAGAAAATGAAGAATTAAGTTTTAAAAATATTAAATATTTCAACCTGACATCTAAGGGTGTGTTGAGCATAGGCTATTTCTTGATTTAGTATTCATTTAATTGTGGCTGTCCAAATGAATATTGCAGAGTTTATTTTTTCCATAATAATTTGTCAACGATGTTCAGTTACTTGTGCATGAAAATGGAAAGTATTTTCATGTGTTTATTTGCAGTGCCATAGAGGCCAATGTGCAGAATATTAAAGCCAAGACATGGTTGTTTAAAAATTTAATGTTTAAACAGTTGTCAGTGATGCTTTCACACTATTTATTAATAAAATCATATATTGTCTACTTTTTTCACTGATTTTTTCAAGTATATTAAGGATAGTAAGTAGTTTCCTATTAATATAGTAATTTTTTGTGTAAACCATAATTGTGTAATTTAATAATACTTTGCTACACTGATTTCCACAACTAGCTTAGTTTAACTTGTTCTGACATAATAATGTAATGGAATGAAATAGAATATTCTTTTTGTTAATTTATTTGAAAGGCAGGATTACAGAGATAGAGAGAGAGCTTCCATCTGCTGGTTCACTCCTCAAATGGCTACAATGGTTGGAGTTGGGCTGGTCCAAAGCCAGGAGCCAGAAGCTTCTTCTGGGTCTCACACGTGGGTGTAGGGGCCCAAGCCCATCTACTACTGCTTTCCCAGGCTCATTAGCAGGGAGCTTGGTTGGAAGTGGAGCAGGTGGGACACGAACTGGCTTGCTCCTATATGGGATGGCAGCACCACAGGCAGCAGTCCCAGAATACCTGTTTTTATAAAGGTCTCCTGAAATGCTTTTGTTTATTTTAAAACACCAAAACGAGTGTTAGGAAACTGGGTTCTAGTTTTTTTTTTTTTTTTTTAATTTATTTGAAAGGCAGAGTAATAGACACTGAGAGATCAGGAGAAAGATCTGTCGATGTCCTATCCATTGGTTCACTCCCCAGATGTCTTTGACAGCTCAGCCTGGTTCTGGCAAAAGCCAGGAATCAAGAACTCAGGCTGGGCCTCCCATATTGTTGGCAGGGAGACATCTATTTGAGTTATCACCCACTGCCTCCCAGGGTGCGCATCAGTAAAGCTGGAATTGGGAGAGGAACTGGTACTTAAACCTAGGTATTCTGATGAGTGATGCTGTTGTCCCAGGCAGCTTTGTAACCACTATGCCAAACTCCTGCCCTGGATTCTAGTATATTTTTTAAATGTTTATTTATTAATTTGAAAGGCAGAGAGAGAGGTCTTCCATCCACTGGTTCACTTCCCAGGTGGCCGTGGGGTCCCCAGTCCGAAGCCAAAAGCCAGGAGTGTCCTCTGGGTCTCCCAAGCATGTGCAGGGCCCAAGGATTTGGACCATCTTCTACTGCTTTCCCAAGCCATAGCAGAGAGCTGGGTCGGAAATGGAGCAGTCAAGAATGAACCAGCACCCATATGGGATACTGGCACTGCAGGTGGTGGCTTTAGCCACTGTGCCCACAGCACCAGCCCTGAATTGATTATCTTAATGTGGAAATATACAGTATGTGTTCTTATTCTTAGGGGCTGGTGCTGTGGCATAGCAGGTAATGCTATTGCTTCCAGCCCTGGTTCTCCATTTCTCATCCAGCTCCCTGCTAATGTGCCTGGGAGACCAGTGGGAGGTGGTGCAAGTGCTTGGGCCCCCTGCATCCATGTGGAAGACCTTGAAGAAGCTCCTGGCTCCTGGCCTTGGATAGGCTCAGTTCCAGCCATTGTGGCCATTTGATGAGTGAAAGCTTCCTCTCTGTCTTTCTCTCTGTTTCTCTAACTCTGCCTTTCAAATAAATAAGTAGATCTTTTTAAAAAGCATGAAAATTTTTGATATATTTAGATAATGATTGGAAGATTGGCATACTTTTTTTTTTTTTTTTTTTTTTTGACAGGCAGAGTGGACAGTGAGAGAGAGAGACAGAGAGAAAGGTCTTCCTTTTGCCGTTGATTCACCCTCCAGTGGCCGCCGCGGCCAGCACGCTGCGGCCGGCACAACGCACTGATCTGATGGCAGGAGCCAGGTACTTCTCCTGGTCTCCCATGGGGTGCAGGGCCCAAGCACTTGGGCCATCCTCCACTGCACTCCCTGGCCACAGCAGAGAGCTGGCCTGGAAGAGAGGCAACCGGGACAGAATCCGGTGCCCCGACCGGGACTAGAACCCGGTGTACCGGCGCCGCAAGGTGGAGGATTAGACTAGTGAGCCGCGGCGCCAGCCCGGCATACATTCTTAAACAGGCATTCACTCTGATTTTTTTTGGGGGGTGGGGGGAAATAATTCCTTTATGGCACAGTGTTTTGCAGTGAGGTGAGGAAATATGAGGAAGGGTTCAGTAAGATGAGTGGAGAGAGTGTGGCAAACTAGAATAAGTGAAAATCATCAAAAGTGATCATTTCTTCAGCTGACTATTCCCACGTTGGTACTTGTGTTTGAACGGTAGCTAGATATCTGGATTTTTTTTGGGTGAAATTTGGCTTTTAAATGTTGATAGAAATTTTTCTTAACATAGTAGGGTATGGTTTTAGGTAATTTAGTTTTGAATATTTCAGGCCCTTTAACTTTATAACCAATGACCATAAATGGAGTGGCTTATTAAATTTATTTATTAAAAGTTCTGGAGGCTGCGAAGTCCAAGATTAAGGCACCAGCAGATTGGGTGTCTGCTGACAACTCTGGTTCATAGGTAAGACCTGTGTCCATAGGAGGTGGGAGGAGCAGCCACCTTTGGGCCCTCTTGAGAATGGCATTAATACCACTCACAATGGCACCATCATCATGATCCTTGCTAACCCCAAAAGGCCCCACTTTTTTTTTTTTTTTTAATATAATTATCGGAAAAGCAGAGTTACACAGAGAGAGGAGAGACAGAGAGAGGTCTTCCATCCGCTGGTTCACCCCCCCCCCCCCCAGTTGGCTGCAACCACCGGAGCTGTGCCGGTCCAAGCCAGGAGCCAGGAGTTGCTTCCGGGTCTCCCACGCGAGTGCAGGGCCCCAAGCACTTGCAAGGCCATCTTCAGTACTAACCCAGGCCATAGCAGAGAGCTGGACGGAAGTGGAGTAGCTGGGACTCGACTCTGCTCCGACTTCACCCCTTACGCCAGCGCTGGCCCCGTCACTTCTTGATACTGGGGATTAGTGACAGCATGTGAATTTGGGCGAAATACAAACCTTCAGGCCCTAGTGGTGTGTGTGTTTTGGCGGCGGCAGTGAGTCTCACACACAGTATTGTGAGGGCGAGTTTGTGCCTTCTGTACCGTGTTCCAGGTTGGGGGGTTGCGATGTCCTGTCTTACCGCCAGACCCAAAGCAGGGTTTCTCCTTAAGGCCAAGTTAACACAGAACTGATTAAACACTGGTATTTCAGACGAAGTATTAAGAGAAATGAACTCAGACTTCTCATTGTTTACAATGACTGCTATCGAGGTGCAGGCTCTTGACACGTGAACCTTATTCCCTCGGAAAGAGCATACTTGAAAATTTACTTCTTGTTTCCAGAATAATAGGAGTTTATAGTAGCTTTAGATTCTCTGTCGTTAAAAACTCCTGCCTTCGACCCGTAAATCCATCAGCCGAAACCGTCCCGCGTTGCTCGGTAACTACGGGCAACCCGGAGCTCCCGGATGTGACGTCAACGTTCTTCCTCCTGTTCTTCCGTTTGTCGACGGAACTCTGGGCTCCCGGATTTGGTGGTTGTGTACGTGGAAGCAGCTTGCGCATGCGCACGCTGGGCCCTTCCCTCAGCTGTGCGGGAAGGGCTAAGGCTAACATCCCGGGCTCGGGGGAGCCTGTTGAGGTGATGGGCACCCACTGACAGGGCCCTCCGAGGGGCGAAGCGGGGCGAGGCTGCTCCGCTGCATCCTCCCCAGGGCCTGAGGCAGTGGGCCTGGCCCTCGGCTTTCCCGCTTGGTGCTGCCGCCGCCGCTGCCGGCCGAGGAGGGGCGATGAGCTGGTTCAACGCCTCCCAGCTCTCCAGCTTCGCCAAGCAGGCCCTGTCCCAGGCCCAGAAATCCATCGACAGGGTCCTGGACATTCAAGAAGAGGAACCGGGCGTCTGGGCCGAGACCATTCCCTACGGAGAGCCGGGTAAGGGAGAGGGGGCGGGCTCCCTGGGCTCCGGCCGGCTTCTGTTCCCCAGGGAGCACAGGTCAAGCGGTGTAGACAGGGACCCTTCCTCGACGAGAGTTCCCAGGAAGTGGTCTCTCCCCGACCCCTTCCCAGATGCCGCTGGAGTCTCCGAGGTGGTCTTTGTTGCTTTCCTGACGGGAGATCCAGCTCCGAGTCCCTTCGCTTTTGGTCCTGGGTGCGGGTCCCGCCTGCTTGCGATGACAGGGACTCGATTTGCTGCTCTTGTCCCCACGCCCTCCTTCGACAGCTTCGGGCGCACTTTGTTGCGTCGCGGGCACTGTTCGGACCGGAGACCTGAAGCATGAAACTCAACAGGGACTGCAAGAACCCCCTAACATGTAATGAGCACTCGGTGCTCAGTGGCGCGTCCTGTGCCTGTTAATGGCTGTTTCGTCTTCAGCAGGAATGGAAAATGAGTCTCGGAATAGCTAAACAACTTGCTCTGGATCCCACAGTGGGTGAAGGGCGGAATGCTGTAGTTGTTGGAGCAGTGTCTGTGGAATCCGAAGCCCAAGATTTTTGGGTTGTATCACATTTTATTTCTGAATGGCTAAGTCTCTTTTTGTTAGTCATTGAACTTTGTTTTTCAAGGATCTTCCCTTGCTTCTGTCTGTAAGGTTAACATTTTGATGTGTGGGGTAAAGATTTGTAGGTTTGATGGGTCTGAAGCTTTGTGTGGAAGAGTACGTTATTTTTGACTACTTCTGCATTTAATTTTACGTCGTTGAAAAGTCAGGACCTAAATTTGAGCTGTGTCATTTTTCAGGTGTTTTTGCACATGTGTGTATGTTATTATCTTTTTACAAAGGTGTTGTAATGACTTTGGTAGAGTAACTTGCTTTTTTCATGTGAATCCCATATTTTGAATTACTATAAAAGTGATAGAATGTAATTTTTAAATATAAAGATAGTATTTTTTAAAATCTGGGACATGAATTATGCGTGTTAATTGGAATAGAATCAGATTTCAGTGAATTGCCATAAATGTTTACTGACCACCTGCTGTGTTTTATATGACAAAAATGACCATAATCTTGAGAACAAAGTAATTTAAATGCGTGTCAAAAGATCCTGGGAATATGCAAAACATTCTTTTTTTAAAAAAAGATTTATTTATTTATTTGAAAGTCAGAGTTACACAGAGAGGAGAGGCAGAGAGAGAGAGAGGGAGAGGGAGAGCCTTCTTCCATCCGCTGGTTCACTCCGCTAATTGGCCGAAACGGCCGGAGCTGCGCTGATCTGAAGCCAGGAGCCAGGAGCTTCTTCCTTGGTCTCCCACCCGGATGTAGGGACCCAAGGACTTGGGCCATCTTCTACTGCTTTCCCAGGCCATAACAGAGAGCTGGATTGAAGTGGAGCAGCTGTGTCTTGAACCGGCGCCCATGTGGGATGCTGGCGCTTCAGGCTAGGGTGTTAACCCACTGTGTCACAGTGTCGGCCCCACAAAACATTCTTTAGGGGGCAAATTTGATTCCTGCCAGCTAATAAGATGTCAATAATCAACAAACCAGTCTTCTGTGATTTTTTGCATGTTTAATTTTTCATTGTTTTCTTATATTATGCAAATAAATCTAAAACTTTGTCCAAACTGAAGTTTCTTAAATACTTTTAATCAGGATCAGCTTTAAAGTGGTGTTAAAGGACATGGCACTGCTATAGGGCTTAATAGTTTTCAGGAGCTTTTAATTAGTTGTGCAGGATTTGTGATAATTCTGCTTAGCCACTGTTGAATTTAGAAAAGGAAAAAAGAAATTGAAGTGCTGTAAATATTTTAATAAATATGCTTTTTTATCATGTTTTTAGTAGTAATTTTTTCTGTGACTGATAGGATAATTACCCTTTTTTCCCATAGTTTTTTTAAAAAATCCTCGCGGCTCACTAGGCTAATCCTCCGCCTGAGGCGCCGGCACACCAGGTTCTAGTCCCGGTCGGGGCGCCGGATTCTGTCCCGGTTGCTCCTCTTCCAGTCCAGCTCTCTGCTGTGGCCCAAGTGCTTGGGCCCTGCACCTGCATGGGAGACCAGGAGAAGCACCTGGCTCCTGGCTTCGGAGCGGTGCGCCGGCTGCAGCGGCCATTGGGGGGTGAACCAACGGAAAAAGGAAGACCTTTCTCTCTGTCTCTCTCTCTCACTGTCCACTCTGCCTGTCAAAAAAAAAAAAAAAAAAAAAAAAATCCTAGTGTCAACCACTTTGTATATGAATAAGCAGTAGTTCTAAAAAGGTACACATTTCTGAAATTGATAATGATCTTTTAATTGATGAAATTTGGAATTTGAGAATGGAAAAAGCTTTGTTTTAGAGTTAATGTGGAGAGTGAGACTCTCAGAATACATTTGGCATTAAGTGGATGAAAATGGGAACTAACTGTTCCCATCAGTTTAACTTGTTCTTTGGAAAAGAACATTTTTCACTAGTATCTTGTGTTCAGCTGTGGAATGTTGCCCTCTGTGGCGAATAGCTGTTTTATTGTTGATATTATGAGAATAAAATTAACATGAACATGAATAGGTAAGGTTGTTTCGGTGTAGATGCACATGACCTGTAAGTATACTGCCTGTTGTTGTGATATGAATCATATATATTGTGGATGTATTGTGGGTTATGAATTATATGCCATTACACTCTTAATTTGTTATGGGACAGAATAATATACTTGTTTCTGGTGCTCTGGCTTCGTTTACCTGTACTCCTACTTCCTCTCAGGCAGATCCTCACCAGTTTTCTTTTTTTTTTTTTTTAAAGATTTATTTATTTGAAAGGCAGAGTTACAGAGAGGCAGAGTCAGAGAAAGAGAGAGGGAGGGAGAGAGGGAGATTGAGAGAGAGGTCTTCTATTTGCTGGTTCACTCCCCAGATGGCCATAATGGCCGGAGCTGAGTTGATCTGAAGCCAGGAGCTAGGAGCTTCTGCCAGGTCTCCCACACAGGTGCAGGGGCCCAAGGACTTGGGTCATCCTCCACTGCTTTCCTAGGCCTTAGCAGAGAGCTGAGTTGGAAGTGGAGCAGCTAGGACTCTAACCAGCTCCCATATGGGATGCCAGCACTGCTGATGGTGACTTTACCCGCTATGCCAGAGTGCCGGCCCCACCAGTTTTCTTTTTTAAGGCCCAAGTTAACCCAAGGAGCTAATTAATAATACACTAAGAAGTTCAGCAGGTACAAATCACAGGTTGTATTCCCTAAGTTTCTTTGTTCTGGTTTTGTATTTATGTTTATTTATAGTGATGATTGAAGTGTGAATGTAATATGTATATTTTTAATCTTTTTTGTTGAAGGAATCAGCCCTTCTGTCAGTGGAGGATGGGACACTTCAAACTGGGGCTTGAAATCAAACACCGAACCTCAGAGTCCACCAACAGCCTCTCCCAAAGCAATTACAAAGCCGGTTCGGAGGACTGTGGTTGATGAATCTGAAAATTTCTTCAGTGCCTTTCTTTCTCCTACGGATGTGCAGACCATTCAGAAGAGTCCAGTGGTATCCAAACCTCCAGCTAAATCACAGCGACCAGAAGAAGAAGTGAAAAGCACCTTGCATGAATCCTTGCACGCTGGACAGTCAAGAACTACTGACACAGCAGAAGCAGATGTGAAAGACTCTTCTTCGAGTGTGTTAGGGGAGACTGAGGCAGTAGATATCCCATCACCTAAACCTGCAGGCCAGCATCAAGAAACTGTTAATAAGGAATCTGAGGGGAAGGCCCCAACTGTTCATCTGAAAGTATCTGAAAGTGTAATTAACGTGAAAACAACTACGGAAAGTGTGCCTAATCTGTCTACCCAGTCTGTCACAGCAGAAACAAAGGATGTGGCCTTGGAACCTAAGGAGCAAAAACACGAAGACCGACAGAGCAATACCCCTTCTCCTCCTATTAGTACCTTCTCATCAGGTACTTCTACCACCAGCGATATTGAAGTTTTAGATCATGAAAGTGTAATAAGTGAGAGCTCAGCAAGTTCGAGACAGGAGACGACAGATTCAAAATCAAGTCTTCACTTGATGCAGACGTCTTTCCAGCTTCTCTCTGCATCTGCTTGCCCTGAGTATAATCGTTTAGATGATTTCCAAAAACTCACCGAGAGTTGCTGCTCATCTGATGCTTTTGAAAGAATAGACTCATTTAGTGTACAGTCATTAGACAGCCGGAGTGTAAGCGAGATTAATTCAGATGATGAGTTATCAGGCAAGGGATATGCTTTAGTGCCTATTATAGTTAGTCCGTCAACTCCAAAGACTAAAAAAGTTGAGTTTGTTGAAGGAAAATCTGAAGACGAAGTAAATGAAACGTTAATTATACCCACCGAGGAAGCAGAAATGGAAGAAAGTGGGCGAAGTGCAACTCCTGTTAACTGTGATCAGCCCGATATCTTGGTTTCTTCTACACCTGTAAATGAGGAACATACTGTCTTAGCCAAGGTGCTTGAACAGAGTGCAGCTGCTGAAAGTCAGCCGGAAGCTCTTTCTGAGTCAGAAGACATTAGCAAGGTAATTGCGGAAAGTGATGTACTTCTCAGAGATAAAATCAGTCATTTTAAAAATATTGCCCTTGATGCATAATGATTTGTACTGATTTAAAACAGATTCAGCCTTTGCCATTTCATTGTATTATTAATATTAAATTATTTTAAATTTCTCCAAGGCAACTATGGTAAAGTGAGTTGATATTTTCAGAAAAACATAAAAGTTTCCATCTTACGTCTTTATTGTTAATGTTGTTACTACCTTAAAATTCCTTTATTCCTTTTAGTTTATCTATTTGTCAAAGACTATTTTCTTAAGTTAAACACTTCAACTTCTCTGTAGATGTGTTAAAATGAACATAAATATTATGGTTTGTATTTTGCAATTTTTTGACTCTTGACATTATTTGTAGCAAGTCTTTTGTCTTTTTTTTTTTTTAATAAAGAAAGTGACAAATATTTCTTTTTTTTCATCTACCATCTGCTGGTACATTCCCCAAGTGTCTGCAATGGCCAGGGCTAGGCTAGGTGCCAGGAGGTTCCTCCTGGTCTCCCATGTGGATGGCAGGGGCCCAAGCACTTGGGCCATCTTCTGCTGCTTTATCAGGCACATTAGCAGAGAGCTGGATCGGAAGTGGAGCAGCCAGGACTTGAACTGGCACCCATATGGAATGTTGGCATTGCAGGTGGTGGCTTAACCTGATATGCCACAATGCCAGCCCCAGTTAAGTCTTAAATTTAGTCTTTTATTTAATCTTTAATAGTTGATGCTCTCTGTTACTAATATTTCTATTTCGTTTGATCCTTATGGAGTGTGTCTCCCTGTATCACTTCAGTTTGTTTTCTTTTTCTTTTTGATACCGTCTATTCATTGCTGTCTCACATGAATGAGAAAAGGAAATGTTTGAGCAATGACATTGCTTGGGAATGACAGATTGTCTCTACCTAATACATATAAAAGGAAAGTGACATTAATTCTTTAATATTAAGTTGTAGTTTTGGCTTTTCATATGGCTTTTAGATGAAAAAATTGAGTTGTTGGGGCTGATGTTGTGGTGCAGTGGGTTAAGCTGCCACCTGTGATGCCAGATTCCAAATGAGTGCTGGTTTGAGTTCCAGCTGCTTCTCTTTTGATCCAGCTCCCTGCTAATGTGCCTGGGAAAGAAGTGAAAGATGACCAAAGTGCTTGGGCCCTTGCCACCCACATGGGAGACCTGGATGGATTTCAGGTTCCTGACTTTGGCTTCACCTAGACCGGATCATTGCGATCATTTGGAGAGTGAACTAGCAGATGGAAGATATGTCTTTCTTTCTCTCTTTCTTACTCCACCTTTTAAATAAATAAATGAATCTTTAAAAAAAATTGAGTTGACATCTTTTATAGACGAAAGGATAGTTTATAGGACTATAAGTCTATAAGGATAGGGATAAAGGATGTATTAAAGAGATTTCCTCTCACTGCCACGTATTGAATGATATACTATTAAAAAAACACCAGATTTTAGTATCTAGTTTTAATATTCACAAACAAAATGCCATGAAGTATTACTCTAAGAAGGAATAGCTATATGCATAATACATTTAGCAACTAATGATTTTTGATTTATTTGAGAAAGACAGGGAGCCCCCATCTGCTGGTGTACTTCCCAAATGCCTGTAACCACTGGGGCTGTTTCTCGTCTAAGGTATACCTGAAAGTGTAATTTTCTGCATCTAAGCATATGTAATCTTCGACCAGAAATTGCATGATTGTTTTCTGAAGTGGTTAATCTCCCACCAGCTATGTGGTTGTACCAATTTATACTCTCCTGTCAGCTCTATAAAAGTTCTTAGTGTTCTGCATAAACTGTGTTCCAGTATTGTTTTTAAAACTTACTTCTATTTCATTTCAAAGGCAGAGAGACAAAGAGAGATTTTTCATCCGCTGGTTTGCTTCCTAAATACTGACAACCCCACCAGGGCTGGGCTAGGCTGAAACCCGGACCCCAGAACTCAATCTGGAGTTCAGATTGGAGCCCAGAACTCAGATCTCCCACACTGAGTGGCAGTGACCCAAGTACTTCAGCCATCTACTGCTGCTTCCCAGGGTGTGCATTAACAGGAGACTCAACTGGAAACGGAGCTGGGACTTGAACCCAGGCCCTCCGCTATAGGATGCAGCTGTGCCATTTTAACTGCTGTGCCAAATGCCCATCCTCCCAGCATTATTTTTGTGAGATACTTCTCTTTTATTTGTTATAGTGATTGGTTTACTTTTACAAATCATCACCTGCATGTGTTAAAAATGGCCTTTTTACAAGTGTTTTGACTTTCACATATTTTACTCCAGACAGTTGAATTTCTGAATGAGAAACTGGAAAAAAGGGAGGCCCAGTTATTAACTCTTAGTAAAGAAAAAGCACTTTTGGAAGAAGCTTATGATAACCTGAAAGAGTAAGTATTTTATAAGTGTGAATAATTTCATACATTTTGTGGTGGCCCATAAACTTTTTGGTTATTTGAGTGTTTTTGAAATTAAAATGTTTTGTAATTAACTTGTCCATAATTATTATAATTGCTTAAAAATTACTTTTCTATTGAAATTATCTTTACCATATTGCCTTTGGCATTGAAGAGAGGTTGTTATGCAAAAATGAAAACAAAACTTTATTATTAAAAATATTTTATAATTATCATAATATTTGTTTAAAGAAAGCTGTGATATTATAGTTAAAAATTAGTTAAAAATGTAGTTAAAAATTTTTGAGTATGATTTAAAGAGATATTTAGGAAAAACAAGATTCAGAACTGAAACATTTTATTTACCTTTTTTTTTGTATATCTAATATTGGTAACATTTTTACCTTCTGTTGTGTTTTCTTAGAGATGTTTTAAAATGAAAATCTAGCAAGTAATTTTTCTCTTAATAGTGTGTAGGCCCCAGACATGTATCAGATAAGATAATAATGAGACACATGTTGGGGAAAATGTCATCCTTTTGAGGACTATTCTTGTCTTGTTACCTTTAGAATATATAAAGAGTATCCTCATTCTCAAATATTTTAAATTTAGTGAAATGTTCCGAGTGAAAGAAGAAAGTAGTAGTATTGCTTCCTTGAAAGATGAGTTCACTCAAAGAATTGCAGAAGCAGAAAAGAAAGTTCAACTAGCATGCAAAGAAAGAGATGCTGCTAAAAAGGTAATAGAATTTAAAGTAATATTAAACTGTATAAAATCAGATTTTTGAGGATTGCACTGTTGAGTGAATTTTCAGATTAAAAAGAAGATTTGATGAATACATAGAGTGTAAGTATTAGCAATTATAGATTTTTTTGATACATTTAAATTGATGGTTCTTGTGCCACTTAAATCTAAACAATTATTTGTTTAATTTATGTCTATATCCTTGCAAAATATGTAGCAAAGATCATAAGAATAGTTTTTGTAAATGATAATTCCAAGATAAATACACTTAAATCTAAATGGTACTATATAAATTAGTTTATCATTTATCTCATTTGTTACTCCACATCAAATATCTCTTTTTTTTTTTTTTTTAAGATTTATTTATTTGAAAGACAGAGTTACAGAGAGAGGTAGAGACAGAGAGAGAGAGAGGTTTTCCATCCATTGGTTTATTCCCCAAATCGCTGGAGCTGAGCTGATCTGAAGCCAGGAGCCAGGAGCTCCTTCCAGGTCTTTCACATTGGTGCAGGGGCCCAAGGACTTGGGTCATTCTCCGCTGTTTCCCAGGCCATAGGAGAGAGCTGGATCAGAAGTGGAGCAGCTGGGACTTGAACTAGCACCCATATAGACTGTCGGTGCTGTAGGCTGGGATTTTAATCTGCTGCACCACAGTGCCAGATCTGACAACAAACATCTTATGTACTTCTTCAAGTAATTCTAAAATAGATTTTTTTTTTTTTGACAGGCAGAGTTAGACAGTGAGAGAGAGACAGAGACAGAGAGAAAGGTCTTCCTTTTTCTGTTGGTTCACCCCACAAATGGCCGCCATGGCCGGCTTGTTGTGGCCAGCTTGCTGCAGCCGGCGCATGCCGATCCGAAGCCAGGAGCCAGGTGCTTCTTCCTGGTCTCCCATGCGGGTGCAGAGCCCAAGCACTTGGGCCATCCTCCACTGCCTTCCCGGACCACAGCAGAGAGCTGGGCTGCAAGAGGAGCAACTGGGACAGAATCCGGTGCCCCAACTGGGACTAAAACCTGTGGTGCCAGCGCCGCAAGCGGAGGATTAGCCTAGTGAGCCACGGTGCCAGCCTAAAATAGAGATTTCTAATGATTAGTAACTCCATTTTGAGAGTCATAATACTAACTTATTCTAATGAGAGTTTCTCAATTTCAATGTTATGGATATTTTGGACTGTGTTGTGAGGGACAGTCCTGTGCATTGAAGGATGTTTAGCAGCATCCCTAGCCCCTACCAATGACATACCAAGAGGACCACCCACTTTGCCACATTGCCAAATGTCCCCATGGGAGCAAAGTCATCCCTGTTTGGGGACCACTGTTCTCCCATCCAAGTACTAACAAGGCCCAACCCTGCTTAGCTTCAGAGATCAGATGAGATCACGCATGTTCAGGGTGGTGTGGCTGAAGATGGGAACCATTATTTTAATGCTTCTAATTTGCAACCATTGCCTATTTTAGAAATTGGTAACAATTAAGTTAGTAGTTATTGATTGTATTATAACTTAATAACATCTCAGCATTTGTCCTTTCTCTGCCTTTGTGCTCGCTGTAATTCTAATTTAAAATTTATAATTTCTGTATATGCATACAGAAAAGAAGTATGTCGTATACTGCCATTTGTTTGGTTGCTTTAATTAGTCGTTCAGACTCCTCAATGATGACCGGAGGGTGCCTAACCAGTGTATCTCTTCCTGTCCCAGCAGTGTTTTTTCAAATGCAAATACTTAACCTATAAAATATGTGCAGAGACAGTGGAGGTTTTTAAAAATTATCTTATCCTCATTTGTATTTCCATATTAAATCTTACATTAATATCTGAATTTAGGTTCGTATATCATATGCAAAACTGTTTTCTTAGTCTTCCTCAAGCTAATAGGTTAATTGGAAGAAACTTAAATATTCTTTTGGAAATGTGATTATGGGTGCTTCTTTGGACAGGGGAAAGAATTGAAAAGTATGCATAGAACTAAAGTAATTCTTTATGGTATTCACAGATTTTCTTTTTATTAGGAAATCAAAAATATGAAAGAAGAACTTGCCACTAGATTAAATAGTAGTGAAACAGCCGACCTTTTGAAAGAAAAAGATGAGCAGATTCGAGGGTTAATGGAAGAAGGTATGTATTCTATTGCTGTTGAAAAATACGGTAAGAATAGGAGAGGTACTAGCCATATGACTAACTGATGCTTCCTAATGAAAATATTGAAAGGAAGAAATATTTGTACTCAAACCACAGAAATGGTACATGACAGTTTATGGAAGAATGGGGAGTAAGATACTTAGATACTTTTTCTAGAGAGGAAAAAAAATAGCTTCAGGAAAAATAGGCAAACATTTGTGCAGACTTACAAAATCTTTTAATAGGTTTTAGGAGCCCATTATATTATTTAAGATAATTAATTTATTTGAAAGAGTGACAGAGAGGTCTTCCATTCTCTGGTTTACTCCCCACGTGGCCACAACAGCCGGACTGTGGCCAGGACAAAGCCAGAAACCAGGAACTTTCAAGTCTCGCACGTGGATCCAGGGTCCCAAGCACTTGGGCCATTTTCCGCTGCTTTCCCAGGCTGTTAGCAGGGAGCAGGATTGGAAGTGGAGGTGCTGGAACTGGAATCTACACCCATGTGGTATGTTGGCTACACAGGTGGTGGCTTTATCTACTACACCACAATGCTGGCCTAAGGATCCCATTATTTAAACCAACATGTGATTTCATAAAATTCATGAAAAAAGAAAAATCCATTTATTTTGATGTAAAAATAACCATTGGTAATAGGAACTGGATTAATGTCTTTATATAATACTCTGGGAGAGAGGAGATTTTGGAAAAATTAGTCAAGTGAATATCTTTTTCCTTTTCTTAAAGTTTTTCTAATAATCACATTAGGTGGGATCAGTGTTGTGGTTCAGTGGATTAAGTTGCTACTCGTAATGCCAGCCTCCCTTATTGGAGTGCTGGTTCAAGTCCTGTTTGCACTGCTTCTCATCCAGTTTCCTATTAGTGAGCATGGGAAAGCAGTGGAACGTAGTCCAAGTGCTTGGGCCTCTGCCACTCGCATGGGAGACTTGGACAGAGTTTCAGGCTCCTGGCTTTAGCCTTGTACTGCCCCGGCCATAGCACCCATTTCGACAGTTGAACAGTAGATGGAAGATCCCTTCTTTTCTGTTTCTCCCTCTCTCTGTTGCTTTATCTTCTAAATAAATATATCTTTAAAGGAAAAAATAATAACACTTACTACTTGTAGAAGTTTTTCAAATTTTAGGAAAACATAAGAATAAAGAGAAAAATAGATTATAATTTGGTATTAAAAATAACTTAATTTTAGTTTCTTTTTAATCCATTTTCAGCCATTAAGATTATATATTTAATTTACAGTCTTCTTTTACATCTTCCTTTGCTGTTAAATGCTTTGTTGTTGTTAACGGCTATATTAAAGTGCCTTTGTAGGTATGGAATAATTTATTATGTTTTCCTAGTGTACATATGTGTATTTCTAAAAAGTTAATATTACAAATAGTGGTAGGATGGACATTTCTATTTATTTATGTAAGATTTGTTTTATTTATTTGAAAGAGTTACAGAGAGAGATAGAGACAAAGAAAGAGAGAGATCTTCCATCCATTGGTTCACTCCCCAAATGACTGCAGTGACTGGAGTTGAGCTGATTCGACATCAGGAGCCAGAAACTTATTCCAGATCTTCCACGCGGGTGCAGGAGCCTAAGGACTTGGGCCATCCTCTGCTGCTTTCCCAGGCACAATAGCAGAGAGCTGGATCAGAAGTGGAGCAGCCAGGACTCGCACCAGCACCTATATGGGATCCTGGCACTGCAGGCTGGGGCTTTAACCTGCGGTGTCACAGTGCTGGCCCTGATGGACATTTTTGTGCTTCATTGAATTTAAAGCAGTTTTCCAGAGAAAGTGTATAGTTTGAGAATAATTTTGGAGGCAGTCAGTCATTTCATTTGAAAATGTTGGTTTTGCATAATTTTTTGTTTTCATTTATTCAGCTAATATTTGTTGAACAGTAAACATATTAGATATTTTGTTTGATATAAAAATGTGATACACTCCTATCCCTTTGGAAGCTAGTTTAGGGAGACAGAAATAGAGATACAGAGGTAACTATAAAATGCAGTCCTAAGTACTAAAATAGAGAAATGAGGGAAGAATTGATAAAACACATAATCTTTATTATCTCCAGACATCTGGAAATAATTAGCTTTCTTGTTTACAGTATTAGAGACTGAGAAGGCGGCTAAGTACATGGCTTCATAATTTAAAAAATATTTAAAATGTTAACATTTAGAACTAATAATTTAGTCAGGGGTAAGTGTTTTCTGTTGCTTAATGGGCTTCTTTATAGAGAAAATAGATTAATATACAGGAGTGGTTTTTTTTTTTTTTTTAATTATTTGAGAGGCAGAGAGGACAGCAAATGCTCCTATCCATTCGTTCACTCCCTAAATTCCTATAATGGCAGGGACTAGGGATGAAGCTAGGATCTGGGAATTCAATCCAAGTCTCTCCCTGAGGTACAGGGACCAAATCACTTGAGCCATTACAGGGTCTACATTAGCAGGAAGTTGTAATCAAGAGCCAGAGCCTGGAATTGAGCTTAGGTACTCTGATATAGGATGCGTGGGTTCTAACCCGTGTCTTAGCTACTAGGCTGAATACCTGCCCACACATAGGAATATTTATGTAATACTTCCATATCCCCCAGAAATACGTTTATTTATTTGCTTATTTTTTAGATTTATTTTATTAAGCCTTTGAAGGGCAGAGTTACAGAGACAGAGAGATAGATATCTTCTCTCCACTGGTTTATACCCCAAGTGGACACAGTTGCCAGACCGGTCCAGATGAAAGCCAAGAGCCAGGACCTTCATCCAGCTCTCCCACATTGATGGCAGGGGCCCATCTTCTACTCTGCTTTTCCCACGCCATTAGCAGGGAGCTGGATCGGATGTGGAGCAGCTGGGACAACAACCAGTGTCCCTATGAGGGCCAGCATTGCAGTCAGTGGCTTAACCTGCCATGCTGGCCCCCCAAAAATATTTTTAAAACTTAATGGGTGATGTGTTAAAAGACTCAAAGCTGAGGCACATTATAAGGAAAACCTGATTTTACCACCTAAAATAATCATCAAGTGTTGACATCTTGTCCCGCTTCTTCCTTGTCTTTCTGTACACATGTATGCTACCTTTTGCCAAACCATTTGAAAGTAGGTCACAGATACCGTAACATTTCACTCTTAAGTTCTCCAATCTGCATCTCCCAAAGGCAAGTACGTTTTCCTTCACAAGCATCATATTTAAGAAAATCATCATTAATTCAAAAAGTATAATCTGCCACATATTTCATCTCTTATCTGTATTGTTTCTAAAAATATCTTTCGTAGTTGACTGTTTATTACTGCCCTAGGATCTAATCAGTTTGTCCATTACATTTAGCTGTCTGAACTTTTAATCTTTCACCAGTCTGGGATCATTCTCTCTGCACAACATTGGAAACCATGGAGTCTAGGGCAGGTATCCTACAGAATGTTCAATGTTCAGGACTTTGTCATTTTCTTTATAATTAGATTCAAATCAAATTTTTAGTAAGAAATAAAGATGACTTTTTATATTTATGACTATATTATATCAATAGGCACTTAAAGACCAGCTGTATTACAATTGGTGACGCACACAGGAAATTGTTGGATATGATGGTGATTGCTGGATTTTTCATTTTAAAAGCACATTTCTCCCTTGATAATTAATCAGTAATATGTGGAAATGATTCTGGAAGACTGTGTTAATGTTGTTCCCTGAGATCATTCCTTCTAATAATTCATTGATAGTTACTGTCCTAATCACCTTTATTGTTGGGGTTACAAAATCATGACTTTAAAAAAATTTCTATCATTTGGGGCTGGCGCTATGGTGCAGTGGGTCAACTCACTGGCCTGAAGTGCCGGCATCCTATATGGGCACTGGTTCTACTCCTGGCTTCTCCTCTTCGGATCTAACTCTCTGCTATGGCCTGGGAAAAGCAGTAGAAGATGGCCCAAGTCCTTGGGCCTCTGCACCCATGTGAGAGACCTGGAAGAAGCTCCTGGCTCCTAACTTCAGATCGGCTCAGCTGCAGCTGTTGCAGCCATCTAGAGAGTGAACCAGCAGATGAAGACCTCTCTCTCTCTGGCTCTACTTCTCTCTGTAACTCTGTCTTTGAAATAAATAAAATAAATCTTTAAAAAAAAGAAATTTTTAAAAGAATAAAATAAATTTCTATCATTTAAAAATTTATTTACTTATTTGAAAGGCAGAGTGACAGAGTGAGAGAGATCTCCCTCTGAGAGAGAGAGAGAAAAAGATCTCCCATCTCCTGGTTCACTCCCCAAATAGCTGCAACAGCTGGGACTGAACTTCATCTGATCTCCCAGTTGAGAAGCAAGAACTCAGTACTTGAGGCATCATCCTTTGCGTTCCAGGCACATTAATAGGAGGCTGGGTTGGAGGCAGAGTAACTAGAACCTGGTGCTCTGATACGGAATGTGAGTATCCATGTGGTAGTTTTTTATTTTTTTTTTTAAAGATTGATCTATTCATTTGAAAGTCAGAAGTACACAGAGAGAGAAGGAGAGGCAGAGAGAGAGAGTGAGGTCCTCCATCCACTGGTTCACTCCCAGGTTGGCTGCAATGACCGGAGTTGCGCCAATCCGTAGCCAGGAGCCAGGAGCCTGCAGGGGCCCAAGGACCTGGGCCATCCTCCACTTCTTTCCCAGGCTACAGCAGAGAGCTGGATCGGAAGTGGAGCAGCTGGGACTCAAACCAGCGCCCATATGGGATGCTGGCACTGCTGGCAGCGGCCTTGCCTGCTATGCCACAGTGCCATGTGGTAGTTTTTTTTTTTAAATCTCAAGGTTGTTATTTATTTATTTATTTTTTATTTTTGACAGGCAGAGTGGACAGTGAGAGAGAGAGAGAGACAGAGAGAAAGGTCTTCCTTTTTGCCGTTGGTTCACCCTCCAATGGCCGCCTTGGCCGGCGTATCGCGCTGATCCAAAGGCAGGAGCCAGGTGCTTCTCCTGGTCTCCCATGCGGGTGCAGGGCCCAAGGACTTGGGCCATCCTCCACTTCTTTCCCAGGCTACAGCAGAGAGCTGGCCTGGAAGAGGGGCAACCAGGACAGAATCTGGTGCCCCGACCGGGACTAGAACCCGGTGTGCTGGCGCCGCTAGGTGGAGGATTAGCCTATTGAGCCACGGCGCCGGCCCGGTTTTTTTTTTTTAAATTTATTTGTTGTGGCCGGCTCTGTGGCTCACTTGGTTAATCCAACGCCTGTGGTGCCGGCATCCCATATGGGCCCCGGGTTCTAGTCCTGGTTCCTCCTCTTTCAGTCCAGCTCTCTGCTGTGGCCCAGCAGGGCAGTGGAGAATGGCCCAAGTGCTTATGCCCCTGCATCCGCATGGGAGACCAGGAAGAAGCGCCTGGCTCCTGGCTTTGGATCGGCGCAGCGCTAGCCGTAGCGGCCATTTGGGGAGTGAACCAACGGAAGGAAGACTTTTCTCTCTGTCTCTCTCACTGTCTATAACTCTACCTGTCAAATAAAAAAAATTATTTGTTTAATTTATATAAAGAGAACAGATTTCATGTATTTCTTAGATACAACTAAGAACATGTTGAGGTGTTGGTGCTGTGGCACAGCTGGTAAAACCACCACCTGCGGCACTAGCATCCCGTATGGTTGCTGGTTCAAGTCCCAGCTGTCCCACTTCCAGTCCTGCTCCCTGCTAGTGTGCCTGGGAAAGAAGTGGAAAATGGCCCAAGACCTTGGGCCCCTGCAATCACATGGGAGACCCTGAAGAAGCTCCAGGCTCCTGGCTTCGGATCAGCCCAGCTGTGGCCATTGCAGCCATTTGGGGAGTGAATCAGCTGATAGAAGACCTCTCTGCCTCTGCCTCTGCCTCTCTGTAACTTTGCCTTTCAAGTGAAATAAATCTTAAAAACAAAACAAAACAAAATGTTGATACTTCCCATCCTCCAACCTCCTTTCTTATTTTTCTTTTAATGTTTGCAGGAACATACTTTCAGTTTACTTTATAATTACAAACTTAATCCTGCACTGAATCAACAAGTAGAAAGTAGAAAGACCACTCTTCCTCAGGAATATAGACAAGGGCCATAAACAATAATTTGATCCTGAGCTGTCAGTTTCATTCATATACATTACATTTTTTTGTACTGTATATATTAGCTACCATAAATCAGAGAAAATACCTTTTTGGGCCTGACTTATTTCACTAAGCATGGTAGTCTCCAGTTACATCCATTTTGCTGCAAAAGACAGGATTTTGTTCTCAGTAGTATTTCATTGTGTGTGTGTGTTATCAGTTGATGGACGTCTGGGTTGATTCATATTTTAGCTATTCTGAATTGAGCTGCTATAAACATGGGGATAGAGATAACTCTTTAATATGCTGAGTTCCTATCCTTTGGGTAAATTCCCAAGAGTGGGATGGCAGGGCCATATGGTAGATCAGTTTTCACATTTCTGTGGAATCTCCATAGTGTCTTCTATGATGGTTGTGCCAGTTTACGTTCCCATCAACAGTGTATTAGGGTACCTTTTTCTCCACATTCTATCAGTATTTGTTATTTTTGGATGATGGCCATTCTATCTGGGGTGAGATGAAACCGTCCATGTGGTAGTTTAACCCCCTGCACAGCAATATCTGCCCCAAATTCTGTCACTTTATTAATGGCTAGTTGGATAGCACATTCTATTCAGATTCTTAGGGAATCATTTGAATTTTTTTACCATTGCCAGGAGAAAAACTATCGAAACAGCAGCTGCATAATTCTAACATCATTAAGAAATTAAGAGCTAAAGACAAAGAAAATGAAAATACTATTGCAAAGCTGAACAAAAAGGTTAAAGAGCTAGAAGAGGAGTTGCAACATTTAAAACAGGTAGCAATCGTTGTTCTATATATATGTATTTCAGTCTTGTCAACAGTTCGCTGTGGTTTATGAAGCAGTTAGGATGATTTAATGGGTGTATCATGTTAGAAGTGTTTTCCAAACAATTTAATAGATGGATGTTGGGATTTTTTTGTTACAATACATATGAGTCCTGCAAAGTGGTTATTTACTATGGTGTTATTTGTTGAAAAACACTTTTATAATTTTTATTATACAGGTCCTAGATGGTAAAGAAGATGTTGAGAGACAACATAGAGAAAATATTAAAAAACTAAATACTGTGGTAGAACGCCAGGAGAAGGATGTTGGCCGACTTCAAGTAGACATGGATGAACTTGAAGAAAAGAACCGAAGTATTCAGGCTGCCCTGGACAGTGCATACAAGTAAGAAAATGAACAGATACACATCTCATTTATAATCAGCCATCATGGTAGAATGTTGAAGAAATTCTTTTTGTGTTATTTCTAGCAATATTTATAAGCTTCCCTATATATGTGTTTGTTACTGGTCAAAGCAAGATCAACAGAGTGTCCTTGCCATCCATGTCCAGTGTCTGTTATGTCGTGAAAGCCTCCTCATCTGTAAATGTCTGTGGTATATAGAAATTTCATTAACTTGGGTATGTGATTAACTGTATATTATCCTAAATAAAAATTATCTAATTTTTAAGAGAGCTTACTGATCTTCACAAAGCTAATGCTGCAAAGGATAGTGAGGCACAGGAAGCTGCCCTGAGCCGTGAGATGAAAGCCAAAGAAGAACTTTCTTCAGCACTAGAGAAAATCCAAGAAGAAGCCCGTCAGCAGCAAGAAACATTAGCGATTCAAGTAAGCAATGGATGATGGATTAAAGTGGTCTTTACACAGTTGTTCATGCTTCTACAGATTAAACAATGCATTAGCTAATTTGAACCAAACTATATGTAGTGGTATATGTGTTAAACTTCCTTTATAATCTCACCTGATATTTTTCAGCATACTGGATTGTGCCAAACTTAAAGTCAGTTGTACTTTTTTGTATTTTATTTATTTGAAAGACAGTTACAGAGAGGGAGAGGCAGAGGCAAAGAGAGAAAATCTTCCATCTGCTGATTCACTCCCCAGATGGCCACAACAGCCAGGGCTGGGCCAGGCCAAAGCCTGGAGCCAGGAGGTTCATCTGGGTCTTCCATGGGGGTTCAGGGGCCCAAGGACTTGGCCCATCTTGTACAGCTTTCCCAGACACATTAGCAGGGAGCTAGATAGGAAATGAACCATTTGGGACTGGAACTGGCACCCATGTGGGATGCCAGCACTGCAGATGGTGGCTTAACCCACTGTGTCACACCAATGACCCTGACCTTTCTGTTTTTTAAAATTGTTAAGAGTGATGTTTACATTACACCAATATTTTTACGTTTTTTTTGTGAGTTTCAAACCTCATTAAGAATACTACGAAAGCTAGGAGCTCCCTTTTTTTATTTATAGATTTATTTTTAATTATTTGAAAGGCAGAATTAGAGAGAGAGAGAGAGAGAGAGAGAGAGATCTTCCATCTGCTGGTTCACTCTCCAAATGGCTGCAACAGCTTGGGCTGGGCCAGGCCGAAGCCAGGAGCCAGGAGCTTCATCTGGGTTTCCCGCCCAAGGACTTGGGCCATCTTCCACTGCTTTCTCAGTTGCATCAACAGGGAGCTGGATCAAAAGTGGAACAGCCAGAACTCAAACTGATGCTACATGGGATGCCGGCATTGGCATTGTAGGCAGCAGCCTAATCTTCTGTGCAACAATGCTGGCCCCTAGGAGTCCTCTTTGATGAGAAATACACATAGGAGAGAGAAGTCAAAAGCTCATGGAAAAATGGAATTGAAAATTTACTTTGAAAATCCTTGTGTAGTTTCTTCATAAGGTGCATTTTCATGAACTTTTTGAAGATAGCTTGTACACATGGATCTCAAAATTTTTAGCACCAAAATAAACTCATCTTGTAATTTTATTTTCTGTGAGCATTTTGATGTACCCTTGGATGTACATAAATGTTACTTATAATTTCAAAAAAGTTCATTTATCTCTTGAGCTCGTTGAAAACATCTGTGGACCTCAGATGGAGGAAAAATAAAATTTGCCAGATTTTGTCTTACCACGTTGGTGGAAATTTTGGTTGCTTATACTTTTGAATATTAGGAGTAATGTTGCTGTAAATACTCATTAGAAATTTTTATGTGAACATATATTTTTAAATTTATATGTTAACTCTACTTTTTTGAGGACCTGCTGAACTTTTCCGTAGAGCTGCATCATTTTATATTACCACCAGCATTTTAGATGAGGGCATCAGTGTCTCCCATGTCCTTGTTAAAATTTGTCGTTACCTATTTTTCTATTATATCCCATGTAGTTTATGCAAGGTGGTACCTGGTTCTGTTAGTGTCCTTTAATACACAAAAATGCTTAATTTTGAGAAATCCAGCATATCTAGAAGATCTATTTTTTGTTTCGTGTCTTGTGCTTTTGGCATTGTATTTAGAAAACCATTGCTTGATCCAAAGTCATGTAGATTTTCACTAGTTTTCTTTTAAGTTTTATGGTCTGACCCCACAGAATTAGGTCTTTTGTATGTCTGTATGCAGTTCTCCAAGTACCATTTATTGAAAAAACTGCTCTTTTCTCATTGATTCCAATGCACTTTTTATTTAATTTTGTTTTGAGTATGCAAAGTATTTACATGATTCCAAAATGAGAGCTTCATAACAAAATATATTTAGACAACATTTGCTTACAACTTAACACTTTTCCATTCCTTTTGTTTTTCTGTAGGTAATTTTAACAGCTTTTGGTAATCTTTTCAGTGGTTCTATTCATAAATGCAAGAAAATATATTCATCTGTACATTTATGTATATATATTTTACCTATTATGTATTCACTTATACACATACTTTTTTGTATCTTTCCCATCCTTCCTACGTAAAAGATAGTTTACTATTTATATATGTATTTTTTTAAGGTTTTTATTTGTTTGAAAGGCAGAGTGACAGAGGGAGAAACAGAGCTTTCATCTGCTGGTTCACTTCCCAAATGGCTACAAAAGCTGGGGTTTGAGTCAGGCTGAGGTCAGGAGCCAGAAACTCCAGCTGAGTCTCTCACATGGGTGGCAGGAACTTATGTACTTGAGCCATCATCTGCTGCTTTCCAGGCAAATTAGCAGGGAACTGGATTGGCAGCAGAGTAGCTGGGATTCAAACTGGCACTCTGCTGTGGGATATAGGTGTTCCACTTTGTCACAACACCTGCCCCTATTTATGCTGTTTTATAACTTGATTTGTTTATTTTTAAAGATATCTTGATGACCACATAGAGTTTTTTTTTTTAAAGATTTATTTTATTTATTTGAAAGACAAAGTTACAGAGAGAGGTAGAGACAGAGAGGTCTTCCATCCACTGGTTCACTCCCCAGATGGCTGCAACAGCCGGAGCTGTACCGATCTGGAGCCAGGAGCCAGGAGCTTCTTCTGGGTCTCCCACGTGGGTGCAGGAGCCCAAGGACTTGGGCCATCTTCTACTGCCTTCCCAGGCCATGGTAGAGAGCTGGATCGGAAGAGGAGCAGCTAGGACTTGAACCAGCGCCGATATGGGATGCCAGCGCTTCAGGCCAGGGTGTTAACCTGCTGTATCACAGCGCTGGCCCCCATGTAGAGTTTTTGAAAGATATCTTTTTATACTTTTATAATACTTCACTATGTGAAGTATTTTAACTGTTTCTTATTAAGGGATACTTGAGTTGCTTCCAATAGTTTACTGTAAACCATGCCACAATCCGTATATCCTTTGTGTTTCTTCTACTCTGTCATTGGGAGAAATAAAATATTGATATTCTGAATTAATAATACATTAGAACAATAATAAAGAAGTATCAAGGAAAGGGAGATAGTGTATCCATCAAAACATCACCTTTTACAAGTACTACCAATTTTGTATATTACCTTCTTATGCTTATCACCATGTACACATTTTTTATAATTGATGTCATAGATGTTATTTTTACAGTTTTTCCAGTTAGGTTAAACCATAAATTTTTAAAATGTTCTATACAATAATAATTTTTAAAATTATTTATGTATGTATTTGAGAGAGAGAAAAAGTGTTGGTTCATTTCCTAAATGCCTGTAGTAGCTGGATTAGGCCAGACCTAAATCAGGAGCTAGGAACTCAATCCAGGTCTCCTTTGTGGGTGCAAGGACCCAACTACTTGAGTCCTTGCTGCCTTCCAGTAGCAGGAACCTGTCTAAAGTACTCTGATACTGGTTGTAGGTATCTTAAACAGTGTCTTTTTTTGTTGTTGTTTTGTTTTTGAAAGGCACAGTTAGAGAGAGGGACAGATCTTCTAGCCACTGGTTTACTCCCTAAATAGCCACAATGGCCAGGGCTGGGCCAGACCAAAGCAGAAAACCAGCAGCTGCTTCTAGGTCTCCAACATGGATATCAGGGCCCAAGCACTTAGGCCATTCTCTACTGCTTTCCCAGGCACATTAGCAGGAAGTTAGATTAGAAGTGGAGCAGCTGGATGGCCGGTGCCGTGGCTCAATAGGCTAATCCTATGCCTGTGGCACCGGCACCCCGGGTTCTAGTCCCAGTCAGGGCGCCGGTTCTGTCCCAGTCGCTCCTCTTCCAGTCCAGCTCTCTGCTGTGGCCCTGGAGTGCAGTGGAGGATGGCCCAAGTCCTTGGGCCCTGCACCCATGTGGGAGACCAGGATAAGTACCTGGCTCCTGGCTTCGGATCAGCGAGGTGTGCCAGCTGCAGCGGCCATTGGGGGGTGAACCAACGGAAAAGGAAGACTTTTCTCTCTGTCTCTCTCACTGGCCACTCTGCCTGTAAAAAAAAAAGGAGTAGCTGGAACTCAAACCAGTCCCCAAATGGAATGCCAGTGTTGCAGGTGACACTTTTACCTGCTGTGCCACAACATGTGCTCCAATTAGTGTTTTAAGAGCTGTATGAATGCCTGTTGCCATCCATCATAATGTTTAATTTATGTTGTGTCAATTTTTGCAAATATAAATTACCACTGATAAATCTTTAGAATATTTTCAGTTTTGTTTGGCTTTTTGCTAGTCGCTGTTTAATTAATATCTGCTTTCTTTTTTTTTTAAAGATTTATTTATTTATTTGAAAGGCAGAGTTATAGAGAGGCAGAGGCAGAGAAGGAGAGATTTTTCTTTCCACTGGTTCACTCCCTGGATGATCGCAATGGCTGGAGCTAAGCCAATCTGAAGCCAGGAGCTGGGAGCTTCTTCCGGGTTTCCCATGCGGATGCAGGGGCCTAAGCACTTGGGCCATCTTCCACTGCTTTCTCAGGCCATAGCAGAGAGCTGGATCAGAAGTAAAGAGCAGCTAGGACTTGAACTGGTTCCCAAATGGGACGCTGGCACTGCAAGTGGCGGCTTTACCCACTACGCCACAGCGCTGGCCCCAGTATCTGCTTTCATAGAATAAATTCTCAGGGCCAGAGTAATCAGATGAAAAGATGTTTTATTTTGTTTCCTAATTCATTTTATTTGTTTGAAGAGAGAGATCTATGGACTGGTTCACTCTTCGTATGCCCATAACAGCCAGGGCTGAACCAGGCCAAAGCCAGGAACTGGGAACTCAACCACATCTCCCACATGGGTGGCAGGAACCCAACCATTTGAATGATCACCTGCTGCCTCCCAAGGTACTTCTCAGCAGGAAGCTGGAATCAGGAATGAAGCTGGGACCTGAACCCAGGCATTCTGATACGAGATGCAGACATCCCAAGCAGCATCGTAACCACTGTGCCAAACGCCTATCCAGGGTTTAAAAAGTTTAATGATTCTTAAAACATGTTTACATATTGTTTTCCAAAGAGGCTATGGTAGTTTATGGTGTGTTTAGCTGTGTGTGAGTGCTGTGTGTAGTTTATTAGTTAATCTTGCTGCTATCATGGTCTGCTTTGTGTGACAGACATTTATGGATACTTGGTCTCTCCTCAGTATCCTAAGACTGTGGCTATGTTTGTACAGGTTTATATGCTTTTCTTTGCTTAGCAGAGTGAATTCTAAGTTCTTAAGTAGTTATTGAATATACATAAAGTTTTGGAATTGCTTGATGAATGTTACTTGTGATAATCATATGTAAAGGCTAATTGCCTGTTATGAACAGTAGGTCAACACAGCACAAAATGATGAAGTTATACATCATGTTTTGACATTGTGACAATATGTTGTGTTTTCTCCTACAGGTGGGGGACCTTAGGCTGGCACTGCAACGTGCAGAACAGGCTGCTGCCAGAAAAGAAGATTATTTACGCCATGAGATCAGTGAACTTCAGCAGGTATTATCACAGTTTTCCTAAACAGAAATCCAAGAAGAATGTTTTCCTAAAAATAAAAAATAAATCATTGGAATTCATGGAACTGTGAGGTTTGCTACATGCTAATAATCATTTGCTGTATTTATTTTTTGAGTTTATTTTCATCTACTTGAGAGAGAGTATGCCTTCTTCATGAGAGAGACAGAAAGAGATTGTCCATCTGCTGACCCACTCCCCAAATGCCTGAAAAAGCCAGGGCTGGGCGAGGCAAAAGCCAGGAGGCTGAAATTCCATCTGTTTCTTCCACGTGTGTGGCAGGATCCCAAACACTTGAGCCATCATCTGCTGCCTCCCATTGTGCATTAGCAGGAAGCTGAATCAGAAGTGCCGGTGCCAGAACTTAGGCCAGCACTCCCATATGGGGAGAAGGTACCTCAAGTGGCAACTTAATGGCCTGCACCACAGTGCCCCATTTACTATGTGTTTGTGGCTTATGTGGATATCAGAATGAGCACCTTAAAAATATACAGAGGAGGGGCCAGCATTGTGGTCTAGTGGATAAAGCTACCACCTGTGATGTCGACATTCTATCTGGGTACCAGTTCCAGTCCTGGCTGCTCCCTTCCAATCCTGTCCCCTGCTCATGGCCTGGGAAAAGCAGCAGATGGCCCAAGTAGTTGGGCCTCTGCCTCCTACATGGGAGACCTGGATAAAGCACGTGGCTGCTGGCTTCAGCTTGGTCCAGCCCTGGCCATTGTGACCCTCTGGGGAGTGAACCAGTAGGTGAAAAAATCTCTGTGTCTCCCTTTCTCTCTAACTTCTGACTTTCAAATGAATAAATAAATCTTAAAAACAACAACAACAACAAAACACACACACACACACACACAGGAAACTCCTTGATTTTGTTTATGTTTTTAATGCCTGTTTTTAAATTATCATTGGTCCTTGATTACTATGGGATAGATAATCAGTGCCTGCTTTGTATGCTACTACTATTATACTATTAGTAATTTTCAGTCAGTGAATGTGTATAGGAAAAAGAAGAAATACAATTTAGATCTTTTTTTTTTTATTTCTTTATGTGAAAGAGTTACACAGAGATAGAAGGAGAGGTAGATAGAAAGAGAGAGGTTGTTTATCCGCTGGTTCACGCCACAATTGGCCGCAGTGGCTGGAGCTGTGCCGATCTGGAGCCTGGAGCCAGGAGCCAGGAGCTTCTTCTGGGTCTCCCACGCGGGTACAGTGGCCCAACGACTTGGACCATCTTCTACTGCTTTCCCAGGCTGTAGCAGAGAGCTGGATTGGAAGTGGGGCAGCCTGGTCTCAAACCGGCGCCCATATATAATGCTGGTTCTGCAGGCAGTGGCTTTACCTGCTATGCCACAGCACTGGCCCCAATGCTTTTGTGTTGTTGTTTTTTCTTTTTTGACAGGCAGAGTGGACAGTGAGAGAGAGAGAGAGAAAGGTCTTCCTTTGCCATTGGTTCACCCTCCAATGGCCGCCACGGCCGGCGCGCTGATCCGATGGCAGGAGCCAGGTACTTATCCTGGTCTCCCATGGGGTGCAGGGCCCAAGCACTTGGGCCATCCTCCACTGCACTCCCGGGCCACAGCAGAGAGCTGGCCTGGAAGAGGGGCAACCGGGACAGAATCCGGCTTCCTCACAAATGTGTAGTGTATGTATGTATACTAGATATCGCAACACCTAACAACCCCGACCAGGACTAGAACCCGGTGTGCCGGCACCGCAGGCGGAGGATTAGCCTATTGAGCCGCGGCGCCGGCCCAATGCTTTTGCTTTTATAAATAATTAAAAGTAGTTGGATGAGGAGGCAGCCCAGAGAGGTTTGTGTGAACTCTATCTTCAGGTAGTCAAAGACTCTCTTAGCAATGCTTTGTAAGGAAACACTTATTTAGATATTATGTAACAGTTCTAACTGAAGAATTGAATAGTTAGATATAGAAAAATAATTTTAAGTATCAATTCTCTTTTGAAGAAACAGTCTGTTTAAGAAATCTCTCATTAGTCTGGGTTTGTTAGTATTTTTAGTGTTTTTAATTGCTGTCGGTGGTAATAACTTAAGAATGTCATGATTCAGAGACTCCAAGAAGCAGAAAATCGAAACCAAGAGCTGAGTCAAAGTGTTTCATCAACAACGAGACCATTGCTTCGACAAATAGAAAATTTGCAAGCAACTCTAGGGTCCCAGACATCATCGTGGGAGAAGTTAGAGAAGAATCTTTCTGATAGGCTTGGTAACAGCTTTAATTTTTATGCTTGATGCCAAAACACTTCTTGCTTCTAAATCAAAACAGTGGTATGAAATTAAAATTTGATCTGATGGTTACATTTTATGTCTTACCGGATTTTTGCCTCTTTATTTACTTGTAAGACTTTAATTATGCCTTTAAAGCCATTTTTTCCCTATATAATGTGTCAGATACTATCTCAAGTATTCCTGTGTCATGTTTCAACTGGGTCTTTTTTCCTTGTCTCTTGCTAAATCTGATCCCATTTTATAATACCGCCTGTATAACAGTGTTTAAGGTAGTTATCAGACATGATTGTAGTCAGGAGCAGAGGTAATCTGAGTGTCAAGATGAAACTCTAGAAGAGCAGTGATACTATGGAATCTCAAGATTCCACATTCTGCTTCCTCACAAATGGGTAGTGTATGTATGTATACTAGATATCGCAACACCTAACAAATTCATTAAAAATTCATTTGTGCCTAAAACTACCTATAATTTGGAGCTCTCAGGACTTGAACCAGTGTTCCAATACAGGATACCAGCTTTGAAAGTAGTGGCTTAACCTACACTGCACCACAACGCCAGCCCCGAGTTGTTTCTTTTAGTCATTCAGACAGATGTGTAGTTGTATTTCATTATGATTTCAATTTGTACTTCCATAATGGGTATTGATGTTGAACATCATTTCATGTGCTTATTTTCCATTTGTGTAGCCTTTATAGTGAAATGTCTGCTCAAGTCTTTTTCTTTTCTTTTTTTTTTTTTAATAGATTTATTTATTTATTTGAAATGCAGAATTACAGAGAGAGAGGGAGAAGCACAGAGAGATCTTCCATCCTCTGGTATACTCCCCAGGCCACAACCAGGAGCCTGGAGCTTTTTTCTGGGTCTCCTGTGTGGGTACAAGGGCCCAAGCACTAAGACTACCTGTTGCTGCTTTCCCAGGTGCATTAGCAGGGAGCCAAGGTCTCGGACAGGCACCCATATGGGATGTTGGCCATCACAGACAGTGGTTGTACCCTGTATACCACGATAGTGGCTCTTGCTTATTTTCTGTCTGTACTGTTTGTATTTTCAGTGTTGAATTTTGAGAATTCTTTCTATATTCTAGAGACTAGTCCTAGGTCTGTTTGTGTTAATTTTCTCCCAGTATGTTGCTTGTTTGTTCAGTTTCTTTTACATGGAATAAAAATGTTGAAGGAATTCATTTTGTCAGTTTTTGCCCCTATAGTTCACATTTTTTTAAGATTTTTTTACTTATTTTACTTATTTGAAAGAGTTACAGAGAGAGGTAGAGGCAGAGAGAAAGAGAGAGAGAGATCTTCCATCTGCTGGTTCACTCCCCACATGGCTGCCACAGCAGAGCTGAGCCGATCCAGAGCCAGGAGCCAGGAGCTTCTTCTGGATCTCCTATATGGGTGCAGGGACCTAGGGACTTGGACCATCCTTTGCTGCTTTCCCAGGTACATTAGCAGGGAGCTGCATTGGAAATGTAGCAGGCAGGACTCGAATTGGTGCCCATATGGGATGATGGTGCCACAGGCTTGGGCTTTAACCTGCTGTGCCACAGTACTAGCCCCTGCTTCATGCTTTTGATGTCAAATCTAAGTATTCTTTGCCTAGGTCTAGATCGTGAGAATTTTCTTCTATTTTTTTAAAACTTTTATAGATTATGCTTACATTTAATTTTGTGAATCCTTTTGGATTTTTGATTTTCATTTGTGATCTCTTGTTGGTTGAGGTTCATTTTACTTTTTGCCTATGGATGTCCAGTTGCTTAGGACCATTTATTAATGCAAGATTCTACTTTCAAATTAAAATTCTTTGGGAAAAGAATTTTAAAGCAGCTATGAGTTAATATTGGTTTCTTTGTTTAAGTAGGCAGTCCTGTCTTAGGCAATAAGTTAATCAGTTAATCACCATCAGTTAATCACCATTGAAAGTTTGAAGTAAGAATTACCTTGGTATCTTTGTCTCTCAGGTGTATTTATGTGCGGTTTTCTTTCTATCCCACAATCAGGTGAATCCCAGACCTTGTTGGCAGCAGCAGTTGAAAGAGAGCGAGCAGCTGCAGAAGAACTCCTTGCCAACAAAACTCAGATGTCTTCCATGGAGTCCCAGAACTCTCTCTTGAGACAAGAAAACAGTAGATTTCAAGCTCAACTAGAATCAGAGAAAAATAAACTAAGAAAGTTGGAGGATGAAAATAACCGGTGAGCATGTTTTTTTTTTAGTGATGTTTTTGAGAGTTTGATTGCATTTTAAAGCACTTTTTAAACACATGCTGTTGGCTTTTAGCTTTGCAGAACTGAGAACTAAAAGTAAATACTTTCACTGATTAAATATAAAGTTAGTACTGCAATTCATTGGGCCTCATAGAGATTCTTAAAATTTTATAACATGTGTTTTAGGTTCTTGTGTTTTTTCAGGGAAAGTATTCATATGTTCCGTTGTAGTTTTTAAAAGGGGTCTAAAACATTACAAAATAGTTTGGAGACTACGCCTTGGTGTATTTTTATATTACAGGGCTTTAGCAGTGTTCCAGTCTTCCTAAATAAATCTGGCTTCTTTGGAAACCACAGATAAAAAGTTCATCTGTTGAAATTATATTAAGGCTGTGATTAGTATGTTTTTACCCTCTGAATTTTTCCTTGAAAGTTTTACATTTTTTAAAAAGTAGTCAGAATGGTTTATAAAGTAAAATGTCTGTACTTGTATCAGCATTTTCATAGAACCTCCTAATAAAGCTTTTGCAAAATCTGCACTTTAGAATGATGGTGCTCAGCCACCACCGCAGCTCAATAAGCTAATCCTCTGCCTGCGGCGCCAGCACACCAGGTTCTAGTCCTGGTCGGGGCGCCGGATTCTGTCCCGGTTGCACCTCTTCCTGTCCAGCTCTCTGCTGTGGCCCGGGAGTGTGGTGGAGGATGGCCCAAGTGCTTGGGCCCTGCACCCGCATAGGAGACCAGGAGAAGCACCTGGCTCCAGGCTTTGGATCAGTGCAGTGCGCTGGCCGCAGTGGCCACTGAGGGGTGAACCAACGGAAAAAGGAAGACCTTTCTCTCTGTCTCTTTTTCTCTCTCACTGTCCACTCTGCGTGTCAAAAAAAAAAAATAATAATAAAAAAAAAATAAAAAGAATGATGGTGCTCAAAATTACTTGTATAAAGTTTCATTTTAAATGAAATTTTAACCCAGAGCATCAATAGATAAAATATTCAAAAGTTCTTTCTGAATGGAACTCATGTGATCTGGAAAACACAGTTCAAAATTGACTGATGTCAAGGTGGTAATAAAAATGACTACTAAACATACAACGAATCAGTAATAAAGTTTTTAATAGTTTGTACTATTATCTTTTTTATATTGTTTAATTCCCTGTGGTTTAATAGGTACCAGGTTGAATTAGAAAACCTAAAAGACGAATATGTAAGAACACTTGAAGAGACAAGGAAAGAGAAGGTATTTCACTTGGTGTTCACTTACTTTTTACAGCTCATGGTGGAGAATGGTTGGGGATGGAAGTGAACTAGTAGGATAATGAGATGAAATGGGTGGTGCCATTGCTTTTGGAACTTGATTTTTGTAGTAAAACATATAGAATATCCTTCATGCTTTTAGTCTTTAGATTGACTTATTAGGATGGCATGAGTTAGTAATTCAGTAACTAACTAACTATATCTCTCTCCATTAGACACTACTGAGTAGTCAGTTAGAAATGGAAAAAATGAAAGTTGAACAAGAAAGGAAGAAAGCCATTTTCACTCAAGAAGTAATAAAAGAAAAGGTACTAGATTTTTGTTAACATTTGTTTTTGGTATAACCATTTAGTCACTGTTGTGATTAATCATGGATTGTGTTGTAATTTGAGCTGTACTTTGTAAGATCTGTTTTTTAAGACTAACATCAATCTAGTGATGAATTCTAGTTGTATAATCAGTGTCTTGCTTAGGGTGGATCCAAAGTAATTTGAGCATTATCCAAAGACAGTTATTTGAATTGTAGAACTTGCCCTTTTTAAAATGAATTTTCTGGTTTTTCATTGGAACTAATATACCTCATTTGACCCGTTAGGCACCTTAGGAGTAAAACTGGCTTGTTCACTTTATTTCTGGTTAATGAAGGTAATGTTTCTGGAATGAGTTTTTATATGTTTAAAGAATTATAGTGTAGTTGGAGTTAGTATTATACATTCAAAATATGTAAATTCAAATTACCTTTTGAATTTATTTGGGATTTTATTATATTTTAAATTTTTAAAATTTTTAAAAAGATTTTATTTATTTATTTGACAGGTATTACAGACAGTGATGCTGAGGCGCACTAGGTTGATCCTCCGCCTGCGGCGGATCCCATATGGGCGCCGGTTCTAGTCCCAGTTGCTCCTCTTCTAGTCTAGCTCTCTGCTGAGGTCCCAGAGGGCAGTGGAGGATGGCCCAAGTGCTTGGGCCCTGCACCCACATGGGAGACCGGGAAGAAGCACCTGGCTCCTGGCTTTGGATCGGCGTAGCTCCGGCCTTGGAGGCCATTTGGGGAGTGAACCAACAGCGGGAAGACCTTTTTTGCTGTCTCTCTGTCTGTCTGTAACTCTACCTGTCAAATAGAAAAAAAAAAAAAAAATGGATAGGCCAGAAATTTTATGGTGTGTAAAATTATCGGTAATTTTGTTTTAAAGATGTAGGTTTAATTGATGATACATAACATGAATCAGTTAGTTTGTATATCTGTTTGAATAAAAACATTCTCATTCCACTAAAAAACAGCAACCAGTTTTGTTGTTATAATATGAATGAGTCCTGTGGTGATTTGACAGAGTTTGTCTATACTTTTGATCACTACATATCACAACTTTTATAAGGTTTCTGACTGTTCAGGTATCACATTTTTACCAACTTATGGGAAAATAAGAATGATTCTTTGCTTTCATTACTAACAAAGTTTTCTTGCTTTCTCTCTTTTGTACTTGAATCTGAACAATTTTTTTTTTCTTTACTCCCTAAGGAACGCAAGCCGTTTTCTGTGTCTAGCACTCCCACCATGTCACGGTCAAGTTCTATAAGTGGAGTTGATATGGCAGGGCTACAGACATCTTTTCTTTCTCAGGTGATGTTTTATTTCTTACATGTGCTTAATTATTAAAATTAATAATGATATAGGGGATATGCAGATGTCAGTTTGGCTATCACCATGACCGTGCTGTTATAAAGGCAGCTTATCTGAATGTTTGCAAAGGAGTACTGATGGCATTGATGAAGAATATGTGATTTTTCTGTCTTTGAGAAAGTCGTAGACATTTTAAAGCCAGAATAGACAGAACCGCTTTGTTGGACTGATAATGGAGCATAATCTGCGATAACTGAATAATTCTTTGCGTTTTCTTTCATTAACAGGATGAGTCTCATGATCACTCATTTGGACCAATGTCTGTATCAGCAAATGGAAGTAATCTTTATGATGCTGTAAGGATGGGAGCAGGATCAAGCATTATTGAAAATCTACAGTCTCAGTTAAAGCTAAGAGAAGGAGAAATTACTCACTTACAGGTATTGGCAAAATATAGCATAATAGAAAATGAAATCTGGGGGTTGAATAAGTAGCACCCTTCATTTCCACTTGAATTCTGAACAAATTGAGAAATAAGGTGAAATGGTAGTTTGTGAAGCCCAAAGTGTGTCACATGTATTAATGATACAGCATAGTTGGAGAAATTAGCTGAGGATGAGAGCTCACTGAGCCTGCTAATTGATTACCAGGATAAGCAGTCTTACCTTCTCTGTCAGAAGAAATCTTGGGCTGGTGCAGGCCAGCTTATATATTGCCATCTGACCCAGTGAGATTTTGGTACATCAGGGAGCAGAAAATGCCTGCTCCTTTTAGGCAGCTGTGTCCCCTTAGAATAAAGGGAAGTTCCTGAGCTCACTGCCCAGTTTAGTCTTCCCAGATTTATTACTTAGAAAAGTTGCTCCAACTCTCAGCAAGGAATATGTAAAGGGATGAGAAGTAGGAATTGTAACACCCTTCACATGGGAAAAAACACCAGTGAAGAGGGAGCATCTTCCCATCTTACCTTTTTTGCATTTTAAAATTGTGTGCATGAGAAATGTTAAAAATGTTTTACCTATTTTTGATGTTAAACAGCACACAAACTCAGAAGTGAGTCACATTTTCTTCTATTCCAATTAATGTGCTTTTGGTTCTGTAGAACTATAACTCTACTGAAGAAAAACTTGAATTGGCAAAAAAAATAGAGATCAAGGTAATTGTGTGTAGCCCAATATGCTGTCGTACTTATTTATTTGGTAGCAATGATAGGAATGATATGACTTAACAGAGCTGAAGCTACATTAAAGTATGTTTTTATTCTGAGTTCTTGAAGCAAGAAATATGTCATTTCCGTAGATTAATATGGCTGTGGTTTTTAAATGAATGACTGGATTTTCTTTGCTTCTTTATCTTTTCCTTACACAATAAACCCTATCAATGAAAACTGGGACTTTTTCTGCCACCTTTTTCTTTTTTTTAGCTTAAGGAACTAGCTCAGGATGTTATGTTGACATATTTGTTTATTCAAAAATAGCACACTAAATACTTTTTATATTAGTGGGATTATTAATATGTTTTGATTTAGACTGTTTTCTGATATTTCTCAGCTGGAAATTGGTAATCTAGAAAAAACTCGATCAATAATGGCTGAAGAGCTAGTTAAATTAACAAATCAAAATGATGAACTTGAAGAGAAAGTGAAGGAGATACCCAAACTTCGAACTCAGCTAAGAGTAAGTATTTTTAACTTAAGGATGAGTTTTAAGATATTTTAATCCAGTACATTAAATCTCATTTTTTATTTATGTAAAATGCATATGCATGCTGTAGTGATGTCTTAGAAATTAGAGTGTTAATATTTGAGAAAAGAAATTTAAAGATAAATCTTCTATCTTGCTTATGTCATTACACATTCAAAATATTTTCACAATCATGTTTGTCCCAGTATAGGAAAAGAACAAAATCTTATTTTATTTTTTAAAACTATTATTTGAAAGACAGAATTACAGAGTGAGAGAGATAGTTCATCCACTGATTGACTTCCAAATGACCACAGCAGCTAAGGCTGGACCAAGCCAAAGCCAGGAACCAGGAGTTTTATCTGCATCTCCCATGCAGTTGGCTTGGGCCCAAGCAGTTGGGCTATTTTGTTCTGCTTTCGAGGTGCATTAACAGGGAGCTGAACTGGACGTGGAGCAGCCAGGACTGAGACTGGTGCCCATATCACAGGCGGCAGCTTAACCCACTGTGCCACAACACCAGCCCCAAGCACTAAATTGTATTTGACTTATTGATAACATTGCCCCTTTCATGATCTTAGTAGTGTTTTGTTCACTGACTCTCTCTCTCTATATGTTTGTATATATCTCATCACAGTTACCGCATTGGATATTAGGAGACACAGTTAAGCCATAAGTGAGAGTATATTTTCTTTTGACTTTTCCTGTGGGCTAAATGCCAAGGAATACTGAAACCAAAATGAAACAGACTGAAGTCTTATTGAGTGGGCTTAAATTTAAGTACGGGATGGAAGAGAGACTAAACCACATGGGTCTATGGGAGAAAATTAGAGACTTAATTAAGGAGAGAGATAGTTAAGATTGACAGTCTTTTGGTTTTTTTTCCTAATTCCCTTTATTTGCTGTTTATTCTACCATAGTGGTTTAGTCCATTTTTTGTTACTATAACAACATGTGAAGGTGAGTACTTTATAAAAAGGCCCATCTGGTTGGCTTCTGCTGAGAGTCCCCTTGGCTGTGTCACAACGTAGCCTGTTGCATTATTGAGAAAGTATATGCAAGAGGAGATCACAGAGTGAGACAGGAAGCCAGAAGAATTCAGGCGACGGGCTTACACTTTATATGAAAACCTATTCTGGTGTTTTTTTTAAAGGATTGATTTGATTTTTTGAAAGGCAGAGTTAGAGAAGTCAAGACAGAGAGAGGTCTTCCACCTGCTGGTTTACTCCCCAAATGGCCCCCAAAATTGGGGCTGGGTCAGGCCAAAGCCAGGAGCTTGCAGCTCCATTTGGGTTTCCTAATTGGGTGGCAGGGTCCCAGGTACTTGGGCCATCCTCTCTGCTTTCCCAGGTGCATTAGCAGGGAGCTGGGTTGGAAGTAGAGCAGCCAGAACTTGAACTGGAACCCATATGGGAAGCCGTCATCTTAGGCTGTGCTGCTTGCCACAGCACTAGCACCACATCAGCTCCTAACAACCTATTCTTGCTGGAACTCATTTAATCTACTCACTGAACATTAATCCCTTTGGAAGGGATGCCCTCCAGTGACCTATTTGTCCTCCCTCCCACTCAGCCCCACCTCTTAAAGGTTCCACCACCTCTTAATGCTATCACACTGGGAACCAGGCCTCCAGCACATGAACCCTTGCAGGACAAACCACATCCAAACTGTTTACAAATAATAGTTGTGGCCCATAATCTGCAGTGTGAGTGTAATTTTTTTTTAAAGATTTATTTATTTATTTGAAAGTCAGTTACACAGAGACAAAAGGAAAGGCAGAGAGAGAGAGGTCTTCCATCCACTGGTTCACTCCTCCAACTGGCCCCAATGGCTGGGACTATGCTGATCCAAAACCAGGAGCCAGGAGCTTCCTCAGGGTCTTCCCACGAAGGGGCAGGGGCCCAAGGACTTGGGCCATTTTCTACTGCTTTCCCAGGGCATAGCAGAGAGCTGGATTAGAAGTAGAGCAGCCAGGCCATGAACTGGCACTCATATGGGATGCCAGCACTGCAGACAGTGGCTTTACCCACTACACCTCCACAGCACTGGCCCCAGAGTTAAATTTTTAAAAGACTTTTATATATATACTTTTTATTCAAATTGTAGATTTTTTATATAGTTATTTTAAGCATTGTAAACAAATGTGTTTTTCAGGATTTGGATCAAAGATACAACACTATCCTGCAAATGTATGGAGAAAAAGCAGAAGAGGCAGAAGAACTTCGATTAGATCTTGAAGATGTAAAAAATATGTATAAGACTCAAATTGATGAACTTTTAAGACAAAGGCTCAGTTAACTTCTAAAAATTGCATTCTTATCAAACTGAATGTAAACATTTAATATCTAAATGCAAACTTCCAATAAATTCTTTTATAGAATTAGAAAATGGAATTTACTGTAGAATACAGAAGTTTAAAAGAATTTTTGCAGTATGTAGTAATATTTGCAGTTAAATTATTTTGTGCAATATTTGAACTTTATTTTTGAAACTATCCTTTAAAGATTTATTTTTTAAAGCATCTGATTTTTTCTTTTTGCCTTAAATAGCACAGAGATTTATTACTTTATCCTCATATCAGTATGGCTGGGGAAGCAGAGTGGTGTTCATGTATGTATTGTAGATAAATAACTAATTGTAACTATAATTTGTGTTTGTATATATTGATAACATTTAAAGAATAGTATTAACATACTGAAACTTTTAAATCTTCCATACAAATCTTCAACATGATTGCTACTTATGAAAACATATGTTAAGTGTTCAAGTAGAGAAGTTATTAAACCTGTGGTTATTAAATTTTATACTAATTATTTTCCTTTAAAGTAGAAGTTACACTGACATTGAAATTTAAAGAATAATTAAAAAGAGTTTGGTGTAAAATTTTATTTCACCTAGCTTCCAAAACTAATTCTATAGATTTTACTACTTTTAGATACTTGTCTGGAGAAAGCTCTACTAAGTTATCAAGGTGTAAGTAGATGGTAGAAAAAATTTACTTACACTGTGTTTATGATGGCATTAGTAACACTTAAATGATTTTGAAGAGGTGTTGTTTTACTACCCTATACAATGAGTCAAAAATAATAACATTATTAACATGGTTTACTCTTTGAAAATTACTTGTGTGCATTTGTAAATCTTTGAGCACGTTAAAAATGAATGTTTGATATTACAGAATATCTATAACAAAATAGAAAGATTGTAGGAATTTGTTTAAATTTGATATTTTACAATTCTGTGTACTTCATCTTTAATTTTTTTCCTTGAAGCTTTAAACACAAAAATAATGTGGAATAGCTTTAGAAAATAGCTATGCCTTCTTCCAAATGTTATTTTGTTCATAAGTTAACCAGGCTGTGTTTTAGACCTGTGAAGTATTTTGATACATTTTATTACTGAATGACATTTAACTGCCTTTGTTTGCAAATAAAACTGTCATTTAATTTTTAAATAGTAGTGCTTTAGAGGATAACTATAAGTAAGCCATCTTAAAGAATTTGGAGAGATTTTCAGGGCAATTCAAGTGACCTCATTTTTGTTCTTTTTATATTCCAGACAGTCTTTCTGTCATTGGAGCTCTGATTTGTAGCATTAATAAATATTCTTTCAATGTGAGCCAAATTCATAAAATTAATTTTCTGTATTTTAGTGGTGAAAGGCAGTTTAATAGCTTTTTGTCAGCTTGTCTTCTTTTTAATCTTCTAGAGAAGAATGACAAGACTGATAGCAATAAGAAATGTACAGAATATAGAAAATATAGGAAACTAAGGTTGCAAAATTCTGCCAAGCCTTTCAAAGTAGGAGTTTAGGAATTATGAAATGCTCCTTTAAAAATATCCATTAATTAAAAAGTAAAAGGACCTAAAACCTTCAGTTACAGAAAAAAGACTGAAATAAAACTTTATTGTACCTTTCAATTTCATGATATTAAACATTCTTTAATTCTAATTAATCTTGATTGATCAATTCACGTAAAAGTTTAAAGTGTTTTCAACTTATTTAAAAGTGACAAACAGCTATTAAGTCTCTGGTTGTGTATTACCATATATATATATACACACACACACACACACACACACACACACACATAAAGATTTATTTATTTGAAAGAGTTACAGAGAGAGAGAATGAGAAGCAGAGATCTTTCATGCACTGGTTTATTCTCCAAATGGCCACAGCAACTGAGGCTAGGCCAGACTAAAGCCAGGAGCTTCTTCCAGGACTCCCATGTGGGTGCAGGGGCCCAAGCACTTAGGCCATCTTCTGCTGCTTTCCCAGGCACATTATCAGGGAACTGGATTGGAAGTGGAGCAGCTGGGACTTGAACTGGAGCCTATATGGAATGCCTGCATTGCAGGCATCAGCTTTATCCACCATGCCAAAATGCTGGCCCCTACCACATACTACTCTTGTATCCATAAACTAAGAGCTGATATTCATACTGATCTTGTGTTGATTTATTATACTCTTAAATCTCTCAATTTTTTTTAAAGATTTATTTATTTGAAAGGCAGAGTTACAGAGAGGCAGAGGCAGACAGAGTTGGGGGAAGGGTCTTCCATCTGCTGGTTCACTCCCCAGATGGCCACAACGGCCAGAGCTGTGCCAATCCAAAGACAGGAGCCAGGAGCTTTCTCTGGGTCTCTTACATGGGTGCAGGGGCCCAAGGATTTGGGCCATTTTCTACTGCTTTCCCAGGGCATAGCAGAGAGCAGGATTGGACGTGGAGCAGCCCAGTCTCAAGCTGGCGCCCATATGGGATGCTGGCACTGCAGATGGCAGCTTTACCCGCTATGCCACAGTACTGGCTGTCAATTCATTTTTAAGTTGAGAAGGTATACTGAATGAGTTTCTTGAAAACCTCCAGTAAATGGCATGCTATCTATTGAATATTGGTTGCTGTATTTTGCTGTTTGTCATTTAAACTTCTTTATCCATAAAGTATATTCATAGTCTAATGGGTAAGAAAATAGCTTGCAATTAAATATTCCCATTCTTAAAGAAAGTGAAAAGATAATACTAATGATAAAAAGTAGAAAGATGTGAACTTTGTTGTTTGGTGAAACTCATAAAAAGACAGGTATGGAATACAGGATGCCTCTAACTCCTAGGAGGTAAATTGAGACCACCATTTCTTACCTTTCCTTTGCCTTTTTTTGAGAACCTCCAGTTGTATAAGGTTTAGCATGTAGAATGTACCAAATATTTCTACATTGTGATTTAAGATATTCTAAACATGACCTAGGGAAACATGAGTTTTTACAGTCAAGTAAATGGAAAGAATGTTCAGGGAATTTTTTTTTCTCATGACCTCTCAATTGGCATTTTGATTTATTGAAATTTTATTTGAACATATATTAAGGGCATTATAGAATAGCCACAAGAAATAAGAGAAAATGATGGAGATATTGTATTTAGTGTACTGCTGTTTAGTATGTATACATGTATGTTCTAGTGTTTCATAATTTTTCATTTCAGTCAAGGAAAATGTTAATCTGATTTTCCCTATTCTAGGTCAGTTTTAAACTAAAAAGACTTTAATAACATTTTGTAAAGGGCTAAAAGTGATCAAGCTACAGATTGATATTATATTATTTTAATTCTAAGTGAAAAATAATGTAAATAAGAAACATGGATCTGATTTGAATAAAGATTTTAAAATAGTAATAATGTATTTCATTTTTAACTGTTTGGAGTGGCCAGTAGCAATGAATGAAGATAGTGTTGTTTATGAAGATAATATGGCTTGTATAACTTTGGAACTCATATTTTAAGAGAATAAAGATAAGCTCAAATTTTGTTATGAATTGTACAAATAAGAGTATTGTTAGTAAATTAAGTATAGTTTTCCTAATGAAGATAATGTTTGGAAAACATAATTTTAAGCATTTACTTATTTTAACTAACTGGTGATTACCCTAGGGATCATTTGTGTCCATTTTTGTTCTTAAACAGTATCAAGACATCCTTCTAGGTCTTCTAACATTTCTGTATTCAAATAGTAAGAAAGTGATCCTCTATTCCTGAGTTCCTGTTGCTTGTATAATTAAGCTGTTAACTTTGTTCTGGTTCTTTAAAATCCTTTAAGCTGTGGCTTTTACATGTAATATATATTTTACTTTTCAGCCAATCAAGGTCCTTTTACAAAAGAAGTTGGAAATTAACTATCTTTCTTAATACTTAAATATTTTTTCTGAAAATAAACAACAAAAGAACCTCAAAATGCTATAGTAATCCACAGTTGTGATATAGGGATTTTACTCTTAGAGCTGTCCAAAATCCCCTATTTTGGAGGCCAGCATTTGGCTCAGTAGGTTCAGCTACCACCTGTGACACTGGCAATCCCGTATGTGAGCATGGGTTCACATTCCTGCCTCTCCACCTTTGATCCAGCATCCCTGATGATGATGCTGGGAAAGCAGAGGAAGACAGCCCGAGTGTTTGGGTCCCTGACATCCATGCGAGGGACCCAGATGTAGTTCCAGGCTCCTGGCTTTTACCTGGCCCAGCCCTGGTTATTTTGGCTGTTTTGGCCTTTGGGGGAGTGAAACAACATATGGAAGGTCTCTTATCTGTCAGTCTGCCTTTCAAAAAAAAAACTTAAAAAAAAAAGATTGTGTGTGTGTGTAAAATTCCTTATACTGCTTTGCTCCAAAGTAAGCTAGATTTAATATTTAGAGCCCCAACAATACTAAGCAAGCATTAGGTTTTCTGTTTGCTTAATATTAAATGTTCTTGCTTTCATGGGTCATAATGGGAGAGCCTGTGGTAGACAGGTGTTCCTCTCACTTTTAGATACTGTACACATTTGTTCTCTTAGAATTACAGTTATTATTGTAAAAAATACACATTGAAAAATCTGTGGTCACGTTGATAGTAAGAAACAGTCTTGTAAGCACTACATGTAAGGAATTCATTTACATAGGATAATAATCCCTTATGTACTGTTTAACATCTAGAATGCTGTGAGAACCCTTTTTAAAAAACATTTGCTATCCGATCTACTTTGGTGATAAAGCCTGGCCTGCATTGATATGGGGCTAGTATAGACTTTGTTTCACTTAGTGAAAATTCTCATACATTTTGCTGCAGAAATACTGTGGGAGATTAAGGGGTGCTGACCCAAGGCTCAGTATGGATATTGGATAATAAATGGTCTACATCTGTATTCTGTTTGAAATTAGCAAACAAAAAAATATCTCAGGTGGTGAAGCACTAAGCCTTTTTACTGTAATGTAAATTTAAAATATTAAAAACTAAAAAAGGGGGGAGGAAAGTGAGAAAGGGAATATTCCTAGAATTGTATCTACAAACTATATGAATCTGTAAAAACTAAAGTTTTAAAAAATCTTAGGAACACTTATGGTTACAAGGATTTTGGAAAAGGAATTGTACACCTGCACATTTATCTTTAAATCATCCTTTAAAAATTGTCGCAATCACCACCCTTCCTCTTTTTTTTTTTTTTTTTAAAGGTTTATTTATTTGAAAGGCAGAGTTACAGACAGATTTTCCATCTGCTGGTTCACTCCCCAAATGGCTGCAAAGGCCAGGGCTAGGCCAGGTTTATTTATTTGAAAGGCAGAGTTACAGACAGATTTTCCATCTGCTGGTTCACTCCCCAAATGGCTGCAAGGGCCAGGGCTAGGCCAGGTCAAAGCTAGGAGCTTCTTTCAGGTCTCCCACTTGGGTGCAGAGGCCCAAGAACTTGGCACCATCTTCTGTTTTCCCAGACCATTAACAGGGAGCTGATTGGAAGTGGATGGTCTCTCCTTTTGTGATACAGTAGTCATTGAGATTCATTTTCAAAATCTTATTAATTCATGTAAGTTGTGGGGTGATATTCTAACTTTGTCATTCCCTTTCATTTAGTAGCTGGTGTATTTCTATAAGAAGAAACTGTCCTTTCAGCTACTTGGTTGCTTGTATTATAATTCACATAAGAGAGACAGAATAAATATTGCTTAATCCCTTTCATTGTTTACCATCTTCAGGATGAGAGTTGGTTTCTCACATCATCAGAGATGAACGCTAAGTTTTTGGCTTGAGTGTTTAGTTGATTTTGTCTTTTCAAATATAATTATTTAAATATATTTGTGCTTGGGGGCCGGTGCTGTGGCGCAGTGGGTTAACACCCTGGCCTGAAGCGCCGTCATCCCATATGGGCACCGGTTCGAGACCCGGCTTCACTCCTGATCCAGCTCTCTGCTGTGGCCTGGGAGAGCAATAGAAGATGGCCAGTGTCCTTGGGCCCCTGCACCCATGTGGGAGACCTGGAAGAAGCTCCTGGCTCCTGGCTCGCAGCTCCGGCCATTGTGGCCAATTGGGGAGTGAACCAGCAGATGGAGGACCTCTCTCTCTTTCTGCCTCTTCTCTGTGTAGCTCTGACTTTCAAATAAATAAATAAAATCTTAAAAAAAAAAAAATAATTTGTGCTTTTCAGTGACCTCTACTGATGTCTTACATTATTCTATCTTTGGCCAGAGGAAGCCTTCTCAAACTGGTTCTTTGAATCCTTTTGATACTAGGAATAGTCATTGAGTACTTCCTTGCTTCCTGGTGCCAGATATTTTAGGCTTATTTTATACATTTCCTGTTGCATAAGCAATCCATTTTTCTATGGAGTTAATGGTTCATTTAATGGGGAATGATGTGTGGAGATTACATTCTAGGTGCAAGGGGTGTTTCTTACCACTGGCAATTACGTATGTAGGAGAAAGCTATTTTTGTAGAAAAAAAATGTTTATGCATATTTGGAACTCCAGTTGAAATTCTGACATAGCCACCAACAACTTACTGAAAACAACTGATGATTTTTTTGGTAATTCTTTTAGTCCTGAGGGTACAAATTATGTGTCAATGTTGTTTGGGATAATTTCCCATGATACGCCATAACTGGATAGCATTTGGATTGAGTCGGTTTCATTTTACCTTTTATTTTCAAGGGTTGCTTTTTACAACTTTAATTTTGCTTTAAAATGTAAAACACTTACATGCTTTCAAGGTCATGTCCATGTAAGGTATATTCAGAGAAGTCTTCTGTCTTTGTCCCCTAAATCCATATTCTCTCTTTTTGCTAAAGGTAAGTATTTTAAGTGTTATTCCTCTACTTGTTAATAATAAATATAAATATGTGTGTATACTTCCCTTTCTTCACTAAATGACAGCATATTACACATTTATTTTCTATTCAGTATTACAGCTTATAGTGTATAAAGATTTCTTAATTTTTTTTAATAAAGTGACTACATTTATTATGGTTTTTTTAAAAGATTATTTATTTATTTGAAAGGCAGAGTTACAGAAAGGCAAAGAGAGAGAGGTCTTCTCTCCGCTGGTTCACTCCCCAAATGGCTGCAATGGCCAGAGCTGGGCTAATCTGAGGCCAGGAGCCAGGATCTTCCTCCGGGTCTCCCACACGGGTACAGGGGCCCATGGA